AGCCAGGCTGGGATTCCTGCCAGTGCCGCTTGGGTGAGGAAGTGGCTGCTTTCTCTGTGTCTGGGAAAGTTGGGGGTGGTCTAGAGCTCCCCACAGGGGGTGGAGGCGCTGGGGTGCTGCTGGATCAGCCACTTCTGCTGGGGAAGGGTTTCTTGAGCACCCCCAAGGGCCTGGTCCTGCCCGCATAATTTGAGGTCCCAGCTCCCTATTTCCAGCAGCTCTCTGGCTGAGGAACCCAGACCCCGCCAGTCAGTGTTTGGCAAGGAGACCACAGTCCTGAGTTGCAGGGAAGGTGGGGGGGGTTGTGTGTGTGTGTGTGTGTGTGTGTGTGTGTGTGTGTGTGTAGCTCAGAGGGCTGCCTGGAGGAGGTGGTGCTTCTGGATCTTGCTGGCTCAGAGCAGGCTTCCTGACGTGGCTGTCTGACCTTGCTTCTGGGAGGCAGAGGGAGGTACCTTGATGGAGTCCTCTTTGCTTCTCACCCTCTATCCTAGGCCTTGAGAGGGGAGGGCAGAGAGGGGTTGGCGTTTGGAGATGTTATGGGCTCTGTGGATGTCAGCACCGTGAGGGCGTTGAGCAGGATGCGAGGGGGTGACCTGTGTTCACATCTGGTTCTCTTTTGCTGGCTGTGTGACCTCAGGAAAATGACTGAACCTCTCAGTGTCCCCACATCCATAAAAGGGAAGCAGTGGTCTTACTCCCCTGCAGGGCCGGTGTGCAGAGTTAGAGCCCCATGGGCACGTGGTAAGCACCCACTAGATTCTGTTCACGGCATTGTCTGCCCCGGGCTGGCGCGGGACATGGGCTGCAGGAGTGCAGAGCCCACCAGGAGTGATTCCCTTGGCCTCCATTTCTACCTGAGCATGCCGCTGGGCTCCCTAATTCCTCCCGCAGGGGGGAATCTCTGGAGGCCACTAGAGAAGATGTGGGGAGTCCCCTTGCCCCCGCCTCCTGCTGCCCCAGGTCCTGTGCAGGATGGCTGGCCCTGGGCTGTGGAGTTTGGGACGAGGTGACAGAAGTATGAGCGAGGGGGGTTCCCCTCCTTGGCCCAGCCCCCTTCCAGGAGGCCTTAGCCAGGACCAGCCTTGTCTGCAGGGACCTACTCTCACCTCTGAGCTAAGGGGGACTCTGCCCCCTGCCCCTCAATGAGGGCTTCCTGGATATGGTAAACTGGGGCCACATGGACCTTGGCACTGTTGATTGCAAGTGACAGAAATTCACACTGGCTTCAGCCGAAAGGGGCATGATTGCTCGGTGCGATTGAATTATCTGGAGGTTGCGTGAACTTCAGGCAGAGCTGGATCCAGGCGTTCAGGGGGTATTTTCGAGCCTGTGTCTCTCCAGTTTCCCGTGTTGGCTCATTCTCCGTGGGCTGTCCCTTACGGTGGATTCAAGCAGCTGCCTGCCGCCGTAGGCCCGCAGGAGAAGACAGTGCCTCTTCGCTGTGGGTCAGCAGAAGTCCCAAAGAGGGTTCTCACTGAGAGGGTTTTGGTCACACGACCGTCCCTAAACCAATCACTGGGGCTTGAGAGGGACAGTGTGATGAGCCAGCCTGGGTCATGCGGTCCCTGACCCAGGGGACCGACAGTGGGAGAGAAAGTCCCAGCAGAAGTAGACGTAACGTCCCTCTCCCAGCTGGGCCCTTGGGGGTTCCCCTCCTCTGTAAAACGGGGCTGCTTGCCCTGCTCCCCCACCAGCGTGATCGTGAGGTGTGAATGACAGTGAGTGACCCCTGGGCTCCACTTCCTCCAGGTGAAGGGGCCTCGACTGTCCCAAGTGCAGATCTCTGCCGTCGGTGTCTTGGGACTTCAGACTTCCGGTGGGGTGGGGGTGAGGGAGTGATAGGGAGGTAGGGCTTCGCTTGACCTGAGGTGGGACTTACAGCCAGGAGGAGTGCCCACTCACAGAGAAGACTGCCCTGAGAGGTGATGAGCTCCCCGTCACTGAGGTGGGCAAGCCGAGGCTGCAGGGTCATTTGTTGGACACGTGGTGAAGGAGGTCCTTCATCTGGGGCCTTCATCTATGGCCTCCCTGCCCTCGGCCACCTGCCCTGAGTCCCAGCCCTCCCAGTCGCCAGTGGTGTCCGTGGCCAGTCGAGGAACCGGTGATGGGACAGAGGGGCCTCGAAGCCTTCCCTGGCAGGGGGGCTCCGTGTCTGGTTTTGGGGGGGTTGCTGCTAGGGAGGCGCGGGTCTGTGGAGATGCCACGGGGGACTCGCAGACCATCTCTCCAGGAGCGACAAATGCATCTTCCCTCCCAGCCCCCAGGCCTGCCCTGCTGTCCCAGGAGCGGGACCACGTCCCCGCACGGGCCGAGGTCCCCGTGCCCAGGGCTGTCTATTGTCCACGTTCTCTCCCGCCTGCCGTTGCCCAGGAAGTGGCCTAATTAGATCCCCGAGAGCAGTGTTTACCAGGCCTGGGTTCCCACGGGCCCCCGGGAACCTTCCAACTGCTCCTCTCTGCACGCCTGCCTCAGCCTGGCTGCGTGTGCCTGGAGGGGCAGGTCAGTTCTGGGGTGTCCTGGCCGCCCCCGGCTCTGGTCTGGGCGCTTTGCCTGGGGTGGGGGAGAGAGCCCCTGGGGGGGGGGGTAGTTGTTGTCGTCCTGGGCCCTTGGTGTTCGAGGTTTCTGGGCCTGGCAGTCGGGTCCCGGCGCACTGGAGTTTGGCAGCAGGCCGGAGGGCCAGGCCGTGCTGTGTATATTTGTGGCAAGTGGTTCCGTCCCCGGGAGCTGCCCCCGCTAGCGGGAGCTCCCTGGGGAAGCCTCTCTCAGTTCAGCGAGAGCGCGAGGCCGGCCAGGAGCCTGGGTTTGGGAGCTGGCGGACCCGGGTGTGGAGCCCAGCGCTGCCCCCAAGCAGCTCCGGCTGTGTGCTCTTCGGCGAGCCGCGCGACCTCTCTGGGCTCAGCTCTGCGTCTGTAAAACGGCTGTTCTGCAGATGAGAGCGGATATGTGTGTGTGGGCGCCTGGCGTGACGGCGTTGACGGTAAAGAGCTGGTTTGGGGAGCGCCCCCGCGCTGGGGGCTTCTCAGGGCAGGGAGCCGCTCTCGTTTTGTAAACCCTACAACCCAGGGCTAGGCGTATGTGGTTAGTAGTCGAAACATGCCTCGTGTGGAATCGAGACTGGTTAGTTCAGAGTCAGAGGTCGCAAATGAGTGGCCGCACAACTCACGTTTTTGAATCGGCTGCCGGCATTGGTTAAGTTGGTGCTTCCCGTCGAAACCAGCTCTGCAGGTTGTCCAGGCTTCGGGCACTTGGGTAGCCCTGGGCCCAGCCCCCGCAGAGCTGCCGGCCTTCCACAGGTGGCAAGGCTTGTGGACACCTGCCGGGCCCAGAGCCACGGAGGCATCCAGGACCTCCGGCAAATGGCCTCTCCCCCCGAGCCCCCAGTATGGGGTTTTTCCAATTCGTTCCTGGAATTTGTGGCATAGCAACTCCCGGAGGGATCCGTGCCCGAGGTGGCTCGTGGATCTAAGGTGGGCGCTCACTGGGGGGCCTCACTCGGACTCTGGGACTCTTGGGCTGGGACGCTGGGACTCCTGCTCTTCTGCCTCTGGGCGCTCCGGACTGCCTTTCCTTCACAGCTTTTGCTGGTGGCCGTTCGTGCCCGTCGTGACCTCCCTGGGCCTTCCCACCTCTTACGGCCTCCCTGCCCTCTGCCACCTGCCCTGTCCCTGTTCCAGGCTCTGAGGCAGGCCTGGAGGATGTTGGGGGCCTGGACTCCTGCCCCCAGACCTCAGTCACTGCACGTAGGGATTGTACATTTTCTGGTAACTTTCTCTTTGTGGGGACGGGAGCTCCATGTGGAGAGAGAGCTGGCCTGGTGCATGGGCACAATGACAGGCCTTTTGGAATAAATGAATGAGCAGATGGACGAATGGTGCTGGGGAAAGGGGGAGCGCGTGTGGGCTGAGCACTGCAAGCCTGGCCCCCGTGCCCAGCTTGTCACACGCGGTCCGCTCTGCTTCCCTCTCTGAGGTTCGGGGTCCATTTCTACGAGGTGGAGCTCGCAAACTTCTTACGTTGGGTCAGTGGAAATTTAAAAAAACGCATTTCCAAAATGCAGTCTTACGAGGAAGCTTAACATAACACAAATGCAAGGGCGATGCTCTGGGTGTCCTGGGCATGAGGGTCTGAGGTACAAACCTCACCAGAGAGCCCCAGTCACTGAGAGAGTGTGACCTTTGCGCAAGGACCATCAGAACAGGAGAAAGCCTGCAAATAGACCCCATGCGCACGGTCACCTGACTTAACACAGAGGTGGCTTCACTGAACTTCTTGAGGAAGGAATGGTGGCTTTGCCGGAAGCCGCTGGGGTGGTTAGAGACCCACGTGGAAGGAAGGCGGGAAGGCTGATCCCTGCCTCACGCCGTGCACAGAGACTCCCTGGGATGGATCAGAGATCTCTTTGTGAAAGCAATACCATCTAACCTGCAGAGCAGTGCTGTCCGGTAGAAGGTTCTGGATGATAGAAATGCTCTTTTTTTTTTTTTTTAAATTTTTATTTATTTTTTGACAGAGAGAGAGAGACAGCGAGAGAGGGAACACAAGCAGGGGGAGTGGGAGAGGGAGAAGCAGGCTCCCAGGACTCTGGGATCGTGACCTGAGCTGAAGGCAGACGCTAAACGGCTGAGCCACCCAGGCGCCCCGATAGAAATGCTCTTATCTCTGCTGCCCGATACAAGAGCCTGGAGCCGTGTGTGGCTTCTGAGCCCTTGACATGAATGGGACCAGTGTGACTGCTGGTCTGAATTTTAATTTTCACTTCTAATCCAGTTAAGTGTAACTTCCCACAGTCACGTGTGGCTACTGTCGGGGGCAGCGCAGGTCTAGGAAACCCAGGGGATGAGCTTGGAGGGCAAGGCTTCAAATAGGATCTAAAAGTTCGGTTTGGGTTCGGGTTGGTAGATGAGACGCAGATAAGGCCTGGCCCCGCTCTCCCCTGCCGCCCGTCCTTCCCTCACTCGGCCCGTCCAGGTCACACCCGGACCTGCTTTGTGTCTCCGCAGAGCTGAGGACCCCGCACGTCTGGTCGGCCTGGCCCGGGTGCAGAGGAAGAGAGTGGCGGTGCCGTGAGCAGGCCTGGCCGTGGAGGAGCGGCGTGGGCCCCGCGCTGCCCATGGGGCTGCAGGCCCCCGGGGCCCCTCCCCAGCCCCGCCTGCCAGGCTCCCCGCGGCCAGAGGCCTAGGCCAGCCGGCTGTCGGCAGACGGATGCCCCCCGGGCCGCGGGCTCTCCCGAGTGGGCTGCCAGGCCGGGGTGCCGCAGGGGGACAATGCCGGCCAAGGGGCGCTATTTCCTCAACGAGGGCGCAGAGGGCCCGGACCAGACGGCGCTCTACGAGAAGTACCGCCTCACCAGCCAGCACGGGCCACTGCTGCTCACGCTCCTGCTGGTGGCCGTCACCGCCTGTGTCGCCCTCATCATCATCACCTTCTCCTGCGGGGTGAGTGGGGCGGCCCGCGGGCGGCTGGGTGCTCGGCTCTGCTGCTGGGTGCTCGCGGGGCCGCTCTCTGCCCGCCGTCCGTGCCTGTCGGGGCCTCTGGGGCGTGCTTAGGCCCCGGGAGGCAGGTTTCTCGAATTCATTTTCAAGTCTGGGGTGGTTTTAGAGATTACATTAATTTGGCCCAGGTAACGACCCTCCCTTTTCTCCAAAACAAACTCGGATTCTGCTGAAGACCGAGGCAGGGGTGGCTCCCATTCCCGGTGCTCCTCCTCCCAGAGCCGGGCTGTGGCCCCGGGGGCCTTCTCAACCCCGCTCTCCAGGAGGGTGCCACCAATGTCATCCGTGACCTCGGCCCGCCACGGCCACTGCCTCGGTGTGGCTGCTGAGTGCCGGACACGTGGCGAGTATGACAGAGGAGCTGGATTTTTAAGTCACGTAAGATTGATCTTGAATAGACACACGTGGCTAGTAGCTACTCTGTGGGAGAGCAGAATTCTAGAAGACCTCCGAGACGCCCGGGAATTAGCAGGGTGAGGTGTGTAGAGTGGGTGGCACCCAGTAGGGCCTCTGTCCGTGCTGCCTGGATCTGCGTGCCTGTAAAGCGCAGGACATTCGTTCCAGCAAATGGTTCCAGAGTGCCTACTGTGTGCCGGCCCCCAGATCAGCCTCTGTGCCCACGGAGCTTCAGGGTCCAGGGGGAGACCCTGCTGACCCAGCTGTGACTTGCCTGTCCTGGTCGCCACCTCCCAGTGTCACATCTCTGTACCTTTGCTCCAGCTTGTCCCCTTGTGTGGGATGCCTTGGGTCAGCGTCTCCTCCTTTCCCCAGCCGAGCTCCTGTGCTGTCCCCCTCTGGGCATGCACAGAGCACCCTGCGAGCAGAGGAGGCCCAATGGGGAGGGCTCGGAGTGGTGGCATCTCAGGGCTGCGCGGTGACTGGGGGAAGGTGGCGGTGAAGGCCTTAGCCATGACAGCATACAGCCTGAAGGGAAGGCAGAGCACGGTGCTTAGAGGGAGCACAAACACCAGCCCCGCAGAGGAGAGCACAGGTGACGTTGCTCAGGGCAGGCTGGACAGGCGAGCCTGGCAGGCTTCCTGGAGGGGACGGCGCATCTCACTGGGGAAAGCTATGGCATTTCCGTGTATGTGTGCCCTGCCCAGGACCCCTCCAGACACCAGGCTGTCCTGGGGATGGCCTTCTTCACGCTTGCCGTGTTTGTGGCTCTCTACGCGCTGGTGTACGTTGAATGCCTCGTCCGGCGGTGGCTCAGGGCCCTGGCGCTGCTCATCTGGGTCTGCCTCATGATGCTGGGCTACACGCTGGTGTTCGACTCGTGGATGAAGGCGGCTCCTATCTGGGCACAGGTAAACCCTGGCGTCCCCGGGGGGCGGCCGGATGCCACCAGCCAGCTGTGCACCCAACAACTCCTGCCCTCGCTGGGCATCAGGTCCCTTCTGGAGACAGGGCCTGCATCTGGTGTGCTGGCCTGGGGCCTTCCTCCTCCCACGGGCTGTGGTTCTGCAACAGAAGGCGGGCCCTGGGCTGATTTTGTCCCCTCCGCTCCCTGAGCTGAGGAGCTGGATGAACTGGGAGGAGCGTCCCTGTGGATGTCTGGCTGGCGCATCGTAGGGGGAGCTCATTCGGTTGGAAATGACACAACTCCAACTCAGAGACAAAAAGGCACAAATTGGCCCATGTGCCAGGAGAGGCTGGGGGGCCAGTCCTGGGCCTCTGGCAGGATGGCCAGGTCCCGATTGCCCTCTGTTCTGTTTTCCTCTGTGTCATTTCGTTCCCAGAAGGCCGTCCCCAGGTCGGGCACGGCTGCTGCCCAGGCTCCAGGCAGCCCCCCCACCAGCTTGTCCCCCCTCCCCTGCAGCTGAAAGAGAAACCTTTTTCTTAACCAGCTTGAGTCACACTGGCCTGGCTGGTCACTATCGCCTCTGGTGGGCTGGGGTGGGCTGAGGCACGGGGAAGCCAGGCAGACTGGGGGCGGTGGGTGGGGCTGCGCTGCTGGAGGCGGCAGGTGAGTGGGCGGCCCCAGCCGTCCAGTAGAGGGAGAGCCTCAGCAGTGGGCGCCAGGCGGGCACGCCCTGGGTCCCGGGGGCCTGGAGTCTCACTCCTGGGGAGGCTTGGCCTTGGCCCCAGATCATAAATCAGCTCGTAGGAAATGATGGATAATGTTGGCTGGGTCTGACCCAGACACGGAGTTTGGCTTTTTCTTGTTCCATTGTGTGTTTGTCACTGTCCCGCCCCACAGGAGAAAGGAGGGGGCCGCCCTGGGGGCAGGGGGCTCAGGATTCAGGTTTCTGGGGCCATCCCCAGAAGACAAGCGGCTGTGGGGGCCCCCATGTCAGTTCTGTCTGGGGCTGTGTCCTGGGGTGGGGGCAGCGTGGCCAGTCCCCGAGCCTCCCCGACGCCCTGCCCCCAGGTGCCCTTCCTTCTGTTCATCGTCTTCGTGGTATACACGCTGCTGCCCTTCAGCATGCAGGGGGCCATCGTGGCAGGGGTGATCTCCAGCATCTCCCACCTCCTGGTGCTTGGAGTCCTGAAGGAGGCCTTCACGAAGCCCAGCATCCAGGTGGGACTGCAGGTGAGGTGCGCACAGGGGTCTGGGGGGCGGGGCAGGCGAAGGCCCCTGGGCAGAGGCTGTGGTTTGGGCCTGAGGATGGCGGAGATGGGTGTAGGTGAGCTGGTCCTGAGGCCTCAGCGCCTCCCAGTGGGTAGGGAAGCTGGCCCCTAGGGCGGGGACATGCCCTGCAGCCTTTCTCTGTTAGCCTGCAGTGCCCCAGATGCTCCGGCCCTCTTCCCTGGGTCCAGAGCACTGCTGTGAGGGTGAGTCCGCCCTGCAGAACCCCGTCCCGACAGGGCTGGGAGTATCCCTGGGCACCCCGTCTTGTCTCTGCATTGAGTGACTGAGACATGCACAGTTTGTGGTGGTCCGCAGAGGGGGTTTCCTCTGACCTGGCCTTGCAGCGGTTCTGGAAAATAGAACCCAGAGCTCTGGGCACTCATTGGGGCGCCATGCCTTCTGTGACTGTCCTTGAGGCCCCCCCCTTGGGCTCTGGGCTCTGTGATGTGATGCACTTCTGCTTCCCTGGTCTCTGGGGCTCTAGTTTTCTGGCTGCAGAGAAGGGCCTGAGACCTGGTCTTAGAGTCACAGTGACTCTAGGGGACCAGTGCCCATCTGGGCTCCCGTTTCCCTGCCTGCCTACGAAGGGTGCCGGCCCGAGTGGGCGGGAGGTCAGAGAATGGGGGTGGGGTGCCACCACCAGCCCGCCGAGGGCTGGTACCCTGGGGCGCAGGCCAGGCTGAATGCTGAGCCCACGCTCGCCTCGCCCCCAGCTGCTGGCCAATGCGGTCATCTTCCTGTGCGGGAACCTCACGGGCGCCTTCCACAAGCACCAGATGCAGGACGCCTCCCGAGAGCTCTTCACCTACACCGTGAAGTGCATCCAGATCCGGCGTAAGCTGCGCATCGAAAAGCGCCAGCAGGTGTGGACGCCGCTTCCCCCTGGAGCCCAAGCCTGGCCCTGCCCGGCCATCCTGGGCCCCATGCCCTGTGTCCTTTCTCTTTGCACATCAGACGCTCACTGAACAGCGTGTGCCTGGGGCACAGGGTGGACGCCCATGCCGGCCTCACCGCAGGGGCTGCCGGGGACACAGGAGGCCGGGGGCCGGGCTGGCTTGGGGGCAGGATGCAGGCTGGCGGGGATGGAGGGGGCCGTGGGCAGAGCAGGCAGGGCCATAGGGAAAACCGAGGCCAGGTCACCGAGCCTGGGGCCTGACGTCCCCCTGCCTGTCCCCCGCCTCCCCGGGGCCCAGGAGAACCTGCTGCTGTCCGTGCTGCCGGCCCACATCTCCATGGGCATGAAGCTCACCATCATCGAGCGGCTTAAGGAGCGCGGGGACCGCCGCTACATGCCCGACAACAACTTTCACAGCCTGTACGTCAAGCGGCACCAGAACGTCAGGTGGGTGGCCGGCCGGGCCTGTGCGCGGGGTCCCCTGGGGGACTGGCCTCAGTCTCCCCATTTGTTTCCCCGGGGGGTGGGATCAGATCACATTGGTGTCGGGGGAGATCCGGTAGCCCCCTACAGTTGTAAAACTCTGTGCCTAAGTAGCACTTTGGGGAAGAAAGGGGTCCTTTCAGGTGATTCTCAAGGGGGCACAGGCCCCCCAAAAGAGGTGACGTCTCCCAGGCCTTGGCGGATTCGAAGGGGCTACGGCATCTTACGCGAAGGCACCAGCCTCAGTGAGCCGGAGGGGTGGGTGCCGTGAGCTGGTTGGTCCGGAGCTCACGGACTCTGGAGCTGGGAGATCTGGCACATGCTGCCACTCTGGTTTCCAGCAGGCTTCAGCCCGAGCCTCGGTTTGCTCATCTGTGGGATGGGAGTCCTCCTAGGGTAGTGTGCGTGTAAAGTGTCGGGCATGGAGCTCAGCCCTGGGGAGCGTGGGGCCACATCTCGCCACGGGGTTTCGTTCTGAAGGCGTGAGGAGGGAGAAGGACGTTCTGAGGCACCCCCATGCTGCGGTCTGCGGTGATGGGGGGCCTGGGGGTGGCAATTCTCAAGGGCCCTGCCTGCAACTCCGGGCTGCCGCCTTTTGCCTTTAATGCCAAGCCTCTGGAACATTCATTCATCCTTACGGCCCTGGGCTTCTGTCCCATCCCTCTGGAGGCCGAGGAGTGGCCGGGGAGACTGGGGTCAGGGCCGGCAGGCGCTCAGGGGCTACCAGGGGCCTGGTGCTGACCCCCCACCCCCCCGCCCCCCCAGCATCCTCTATGCTGACATCGTGGGCTTCACGCGGCTGGCCAGCGACTGCTCCCCCAAAGAGCTGGTGGTGGTGCTGAACGAACTCTTCGGCAAGTTTGACCAGATCGCCAAGGTGAGCTCGCAGGCCTTTGTGCCGGCCCCTTGCCCCCCGGGGGTGGCCTGTACCCAGTGCTGTGCCGAGATGGGCATGCAGAGGCCCCGGCTGAACTTCGGCACTCAGTCGGCAACCGCTTGTGAGCGTTCCACGGTGGCGGTGGGGTTGCGGGGTGGCCACGGCGGCCAGGACCCTGTCCCCAGAGAGTGAGGCTGGTGGGAGACTGCCAGTACGTGCGGGGGCATGCACAGGGGCTCAGGCGCTCAGGGGGCACTCAGGAAGGCTGCCTGGGGGAGGAGATGCCTCCATCTCAGTGCTGGGCCTCGCCCCCAGTCTGCCTCCCGACAAGATAGCTGGTGAACCATGCGTGCACATTAAAGTTTGAGAAACCTAGAAAGAGACGCTGAAGAGGAAAAGGAGCAGTTCTGGGCAGAGGGAAGAGCGTGTGCAAAAGGCTGGAGGAGAAAGAAGACTCTGGGGGCCCTTGGAATGGACGTGGCCCAGTGTGACTGGGTGGGGTATGAGGGGATCGAGGTGCCAGGGGCAGACGTGCAAGGATTTAGGGCTGAGGTGAGGAGGACTTGACCTGAGGACACTGGGGAACGTGGCAGGTGCTGAGTAGGGGAGGGTATGGGGTGAGGAGGGGCTCCCAGGTACAGCTGAGCAGGGAGAGGTCTGGAGACGGGCAGGGCAGGGCTGAGCTCACTGTTGGTCTTCCTGGGTGGCATGGAGCCTGGGGGTGGGGATGGGGGGTGGGGGTTGTGGGCGTGTGTGTGTACATGTGTGCATGCGTGCACTCATTCATTAACTCATCAAATGGTCCTGAGACCTGCCACGTGGCAGCCTTGAGCTCCTGTGGCCTTGGGCCTGCCCTCCAATTGCCCCCGGCCTGTATGCTCTGAGCTTTGAAGAGGGGGTGTAGGGGGCTGGGGGGCCTGGGGAGCACCTGGCCCAGCTTCCGGTGAAGACAGACTTAGTGGTGGCCGCTAAGCAGAGACCCGGGTGTTAAGATTTAAGGCCGTGGCCATCTGCGCTGGCTGCACGTTCGAATCCTGTCGAGAGCGTCAGTAAAGGCCAGCCTGTGCCCACGCCTGGGCGAGTTCCGAAGCGTCCCCTGGGCGCCTCCACGGGCGGAGAATTAATGGTCTGGGCCTTGGTGGGAAGCAAGTTCGGGCCCCACACCAGGAAGACCTTCTCGTGGTCAGAGCTGCTCTGTTCTAGGAGGGACTGCCTCACCAGGAGTGGCCTCCCTCTTAGGGGAAGACCACCGCAGGGCGGTGACCAAACTTCAGGCCAGGGGTGCCCCGAAGCACGTCCCTCAGGGTATTGCGGACCAAGTGATTCGGAGGGCCTGTCTAGTCTGGAGCCTTCTTTCAGGAGCCTCCTTCCTTCATGACATCCCTTAAACAAGCAGGTGGGGTTCCCAGTAGCTGGGCCACATGTGGGCTAGGGGCCTGGGCTTCCGGTCGCACATGGCCCTTTCCCTGCCACAGCCCAGGGACCTGCCCTTGTCCTCTTGGACGCAGCTCTCCCTCTGTGGCAGGTGCAGGAGGCAGGCCCTTTGTACAGATGGGGAGAGGGAGGCCTTCTAGCTGCCTGCTAAGGCCCCCGTGAGGGCTGCAGCTGGGCCCGGGGAGCCTGGGGAGTGGGCCTGGAGCCGGCATGTAGCCCCTTCTTCAGAGTCTCTAAATCCCCACCCCACCTTGGCCAAGAGCTGACAGAAGGCCTAGTGGTCGCAGTAGTACCTCAGATGGAAACTCAGACAGCCTGCTGGGCCCCCCATCTCCTCAGGGGCATTTTCCTATGTGGCCCCAGCCTCAGCATTCACTTCCATCTTTCTGTCCTCTCCCCACTCCCCGGACCCTGCTGGTTTGCATCCCTGGCCGCCTAGCCATCTCTCGGGTTACCTTGACACCTGCTGGCCCCTTGGCTTGTGGCACCTGCCACCTGTCTTCATGTCCTCTACTTCCTCCACCTCAGCCGCATGGGCTGCTTTGCCGGGTACTCAAACAGCTTTCCGCCTGCCGGGCCTTTGCACATGCTGCGTCTTTCATCTGCCTGGAATGCTCTCCTCCCTGCAGGCCAATGAGTGTATGCGGATCAAGATCCTGGGGGACTGCTACTACTGCGTGTCGGGTCTGCCCGTATCCCTGCCCACCCATGCCCGGAACTGCGTGAAGATGGGGCTGGACATGTGTGAGGCCATTAAGTAGGTACCCTGGGCAGGCCCGGGCACTGGGTCCTGTCCCCATCACGGACCCCTCCTGCTTCCCAGGGCATGGTAGGGAATGCACTGTACCCACTTTGCAGATGAGGAACCCGAGGCCCGCCTGGGTCCCTCCGCAGCCCTGGCTGGGATGGGGTGACGGGACTGCTCTGCCCAGGCAGGTGCGAGAGGCCACAGGCGTGGATATCAGCATGCGTGTGGGCATACACTCAGGGAACGTGCTGTGCGGGGTCATTGGGCTGCGCAAATGGCAGTACGACGTGTGGTCCCACGATGTGTCCCTGGCCAACAGGATGGAGGCGGCTGGAGTCCCTGGGTGAGGTTCAGCAGGACCGTGGCCGTGTCAGAGGCCATGGGCCAGCTCTGGGCTGGGCGGGCGGAGGGGGTAGGGGGTTGGTCAGAGTGGGGTCAGAGATGGAAGCAATGACCTCGCGTTGGGGGGAGCCAGGCTGGGCTCTGGCCTGCTTGGCCCTGCGTGCCGTGCACCCTCTGGGTGGGTGCCGGCCTTCTCTGGGCCCTGCAGCTCTGACTCGGGGCCGGTCTCCCCCAGCCGGGTGCACATCACAGAGGCGACGCTGAACCACCTGGACAAGGCGTATGAGGTGGAGGACGGGCACGGGCAGCAGCGGGACCCCTACCTGAAGGAGATGAACATCCGCACCTACCTGGTCATCGACCCCCGGGTACGAGGGCTCAGAAGCAGCGGGCAGGGTGGGCGGGGCTGGCTGAGGAGACCCTCTGGGCCGGGACTGTGCTGGCGAGTGGGGTCCACACCCTGGGGGAAGACCCCCGTGGAGGGAGAGTGTTTTTCCCTTCCAGGCTGTGGAGAGGTAGGGAAGAGGCCCGCCCGGGGTGGGAGTGAGCTCCCCGTCACTGAGTGTGTTCTAGGCTCCACACAGCTTCTCTGGGCCTCAGTGAACTTGCAACAACTACAATGCCTACCTCAGGAGGAGAAAGAGCTCGTGTGAGCGAACCGCTCACCACAAACTGGGCACCTCATAAACATTCTAGAAATGATAGTCACTGCTAGTTTATTTTCCAGGGGTTTGTCACTCATTTCCCGGATTTTGAGAGGACACATTTGTAAGACATGCTTTGGATAAGACTCAGGACAGCGAGGAATGGCCAGGGGGCCACCGGGCAGGAGCCTCGGTGTGTCGTGGGTTCTGCCCCCGTGGGTGGCCGCCCCGCGGGCTGATGCCTCTACCTGCTTGGAGGCCCCGCTTTCGTCAGGACCCCGAGGCGGAGGCAGCTGCTGGGCCGCTCTGAGGCAGTGGGCCCTGGCCCTGCCCCGCGCCCACACAGGCCCTGCTTTCCTGCCGCGGGAGGCCAGCTCGTCTGGCGGCCTCGGTGAATCATCCTTGGGGCTTGCTCAAGAATGTCGGCCACAGGATGGGCTCTTTCCAGCTCCCTCTGTCTCTGGCCCTGGCTGTCCTCAGAGCTGGCCCGACTGCCAGTCTTGCGAGCCTCCTGGGCCCCGTGATGTTCCCTAGGGACGGGAACCGCTCAGCAACCTCCCCTCCCCGGCCGTGGGCCCTGGGTGCTGAGTTAGCATCTGGGGAAACCCTTCCTGGGTACCTCGGGGCTGCTTCCACCCCACAGTCATGGAATACAACCCAGCCCCTCACCCCATACCCTGCAGCTCTGGGCCCTGCCCTCTTCTCTGACCGCCCCCCCTTTCCCCCTGAGTGCCCTTCACCCCAGCCCCTGCCCTCCACTGCCAGGCTCTTCGTGCCGCAGGACGCTTGTCACTGCTGCTGTCTCTGCCCGCGGCGCTCTCGGCTTGCTTGCAAGTGCTCCTGTTGGTTTACCCTCTTTGCTTGTCTGCTGTCACTGTGAGCTCCACATGGGCAGGCTCAGGGCAGGGGGAGCGGCCTGTCCAGGCTGCCATCCCCGCGCCTAGAGCAGCGCCTGGCGATGGAGCCGGAGCTCAGAGACCGCGTGCCCAGAAGCAGAGCCCCGTCCTGCAAGGCGGTGGCAGGGACAGCTCTAAGCCCTCCCCTCAGCAAGGCCGCTGTGGGACTCGCAGGCGAGCTTCAGTTTCAGACAAACGACGAAGTTTTTAGCATGTGTGTGTTTTGTGCAGGATCTAACTGGGCATCCTACGGTTTTTCCGGCAACCCTACCTTCCCCATCTTTGTTGAATTTCATTTATTCACGTAGTCGAACATTCAAAAAGCACGAAGGGGGTGTTGCGGGCCGTTGTCCTCACACCCTTGCCTGTGGCCGGCGTCCCCGCTGAAGGGGACAGCGTGGCGAGTCTCCCTTCCACAGAGATGCCGATGCACACTGAGGAGTCGAGGGACTGTCCCGCGCCCTCGCCAAGCCCCGCACCCGCTTGGTACCTTGCTTTCTTCACCTGATGACGGAGCTGGGAGACGCGCCCTTATGTGTGCGCAGAGGCCGCCGCACGCTCAGGGGTGCCTCCTGCTGTCGATGTGGCCGGCCTTCCCCAACTTTGGCCTCTGAAGGTTGTCCAGAGGTGGCAGGTGGCCGGCGGGGGTCACCTGCGGGCTGGTGACGGTCGCAGGTGCCCTCCCAGGGCCCACTTCGGAGCAGGTGCCTTTATACTCAGAGCTGATGGATCTTCAGTGCACATTTATTTCTCAGGAAGCTCCAGTGAGTGAGAAGTGCTAGCGACCCCAAACTTGAGCGGCTGGGGGCTGCGGGGGCAGAGTTGCCGACCCGTAAAGGGGAGATGGAGAATGGGACCTCCCCCGACTCCAGGGCAGGTGGCTCTCGGCGTGGCACAGCCGGATTCCAGCTGGTCCCACTGGCGAGGCAGACAGGCGCATCTCAAGGCTTAAAAATGTTTCTATCCCGAAAGGAGGCTAGAAGTTTCTAGGAAAGTTGCTGCCTGTGGCTTAGCGAGTGTCTGTGGCTGTAGATGCTGGTCCCTGTGGGTGTTTGCAGAGACCCAAGGGGACAGGGGGTAGGGGGACTTGGAGATGGTTCAAGCTTGTCTCTGGCGGCCATGGCACTGTTTCTCTTCTCTCCCCCTTTTACAGTCCTGCCCGTCCTCCCCAGCAGGGGACGGTCCCCTGCTCTTAGGGGGGTGGGGGGCAGGGGGCCACAGAGGAGGCTGGCCGGGCTGACACCCTTTCCCTGACCCGGCCACAGCAGGCACATGGCATGTAACGCTCCCTGCCGTGGAGTGGGGGCCGCACGAGTGGAAGGGCCTGGAACGCTGCCCAGGGGGTGGGGCTGGCCCCTCGGTGGGCCGGCTGTCTGGCTCTCCGGGTTCCTGGCCCGCACTCCTCTTCCTCCAGCTGCTCCCTCCTGGAAGGACATGTGCCGGCCACATGTGGGTGGGCCGGGTGGGATGCTTATGGCTTTCCTGGGCACTGTCTCCCCGGCCAGTGGGCTTTCAGGCCCCAAGGGAGACAGTGGTGCCACAGAGCGTCACGGGGCTGGCAGGGTCTTAGGGCTTAGGACTTCGGCCCGATCTTTCCCTGGGGAGGCAGAGAAGGGTCTGAGGGGCTGCGCACAGTTGTGTGTGATCCCCAATCTCCTGGCTGCCTGGGAAGGACAGGGCCCGAGCTGGGACCTCCTGTGCAGCCCAGCCAAGGAGTGCACTGGGCCATAGCCGGTCCCCGAGGGGCTCGCAGACCCAGCAGCGTTTCTGCCATTCTCTTTTTCCCCAGCCTGGCCAGCTCTCGGGGCAGTGTGGCATTTCAGGGGGAGTGGGATGGGGGCGGGGCCCTTCCTGGGCTGACGGGGGTAGGGACAGGCCGTGTCTGTGTCTGCCTACAGAGCCGGCAGCCGCCCCCGCCCAGCCAGCACCTCCCGAAGCCCAAGGGGGACGCGGCCCTAAAGATGCGGGCATCCGTGCGCATGACCCGCTACCTCGAGTCCTGGGGGGCCGCGCGGCCCTTTGCTCACCTCAACCACCGTGAGAGCGTGAGCAGCGGCGAGACCCCCGTCCCCAGCGGGCGGAGGCCCAAGGTAGGACCCTGCCTCCCAGACTGCTCGGCACCTGCCCCGTGTGTCCGAGGGTGCGGGAGATGAGAGACCCAGTCCAGGGACAGACTTCGGGGGCCCCTCATTGCAGAATAACTGTCCCCTCTCCTTTCCTTTCCAGACCATTCCCCTGCGGCGCCACCGGACCCCTGACAGGTACGTGCACCATCCCCTCCTCTCCGTCAACTGTGGCCTGCCTTCCTGACCAAGTCCTGCCCCACCCCAGTCACCCCCTTAGTGACCACCCCCTCCAGGCAGCCTACCCTGACCACCCTCTGTCCAGGAGGGCAGCTCGGAGGGGCTGTGGCTTGGAATGAGGACTTCACAGTAATGGAGTGCCTGTGGTGTCCCCACCCGGGGCCGGGTTAGTGGTTGGCGTGAGGGAAGCCTGCGGGTGGAGGGGAAGAGGCCTCAGAGGTTGGCCTTTAGGGGTCCTCTGCTTCTGGCTGGGCTGCTGGCCACCTGGGCCTGCTGCTTGATGCCGGGCCTCCACTTGCCCTCTCTGGGCCTCAGTGGGACCCTCCTGTTCCTCGGCCACCCCGCACGAGGCTCTGGGGCCTCCTGCAGGCGTCTAGGCACCCAGACGGGGGTGCTGCCTCGTGTTCGCTCCTGCCTCTGGGCAGGCGGGTGTGGTCCTGGGGTGATGCGCTTCGGTTCCTGATGCAGGAGCACGTCCCCCAAGGGGCGGTCGGAGGACGACTCGTACGACGAGGAGATGCTGTCAGCCATCGAGGGGCTGAGCTCCACGAGGTGGGACCCCGAGGCCTCTGTTCGCCCAGTCCCCCCTCGGGTGGGGGTTCCCCATACAGCCAGGCCCTCCTTGTGCCCGCGTGCCTGGTGCCCAGCTCCGGCTGCGTCTGTGGTGGTTCCTTTGCCTCCCTGGTGCTGCCTCCTGAGGGTGGGCTTCTGCCCCCCATCTCCCTGCTCCCTGGAGTGGGACCCCCTCCCACCCCCCTCCCCCATCTCCTCCCGAGGGCGGGCCCCCCTATTCCCCCAGGCCCTGTGTCTCACGGCCTGCGCCTGCCACCCCTCAGGCCCTGCTGCTCCACGTCCGATGACTTCTACACCCTGGGGTCCATCTTCCTGGAGAAGGACTTCGAGCGAGAGGTGAGGACCGGGGGCTCCAGGCCTGGGGTGGGGCGGCCACCGCTCCGACGTCTGTTCAGCGAGGGTGGTGGGCATCACCCCGGCGGGCCATGGTGGGTGGGTGGGGGCCCGGTCCCGCCTTGCTTGGACTCTCTTCCCGTTGGCCTCACTCCTGTACCTGACTCGTGCCCTGTTAGGGATTCTCCCACTTGGGTTTGGGAGACCTTTGCTCCCCTCATATGCTGGGACCTCAGCGGGTAAGGGCCAGCGCACGCCTTAGCCTGGTTCTCCCTTCTGGCTGCTACAACTACGTGCTTTTATGCCGTTCTGCAACTGTTGACTTATTTACTGAGCGCCTACTGTGTTCTGGCCATGTCCCTGGCACACATGTATGTCCTTGAAACCTCAGACGGCCGGACAAGGTGGCCGTTGTTACCCATTTCACAGGCTTCTGGCTTCTGGTGTGGCCCGTGAGGGTGGCCCCAGGCCACGGGGCTCTGGTGCTGGGGCTTCTTTCCCCTCTCAGCCTCAAGATTGCCGGTGGTGGTGGGGTCTTTCTCTGGCTGGGGCTTCCTGAGTCGGGGCTCCCTCGGTGAGGAGCTTGGGGTCTGAGGGAAACCTGCCTGGCAGGCCTGCCAGCAGCTGTGTGACCCTGGGCAGGCTGCCGGACTCTCTGAGCCCCGGTTTGCTCACGTGCAGCAGGAGCCCCTGTGGCCCGAGATCATGAGATTGTGCCTGGTGGAGGGGTGTGAGTGGCACGGGGTCCCCCTGCCCACTAGCTAGGGGCTCAGGCCCAGCCTTACTCCTGGGTCTGGGGGGAGGACAGACCCACCGCCAGCCCCAGAGCTCACACTTGGTTCCCGTCCCCAAGCTTGGGGCCATAGGCTTCTCAGGGACCTGGGAAATAGAGTCAGAGACCTGGGTGGGGTGGGGGAGGGGAAGGGATCAGCTCTAAACGTCGGGGAACAGAAGGAAGGTCATTTGGTCATGATGATGTCCCATCATCACCTGGAACTCAGGGAGTATGTGAGGTTTGTTTTAAAGATGTATTTATTTGTTTTAAAGAGAGAGAGAGCACACGTGCACAAGGGGGGGAGGGGCAGAGGGGGAGGGAGAAGTGGGCTCCCCGCTGAGTGGGACCCTGAGATCATGACCTGAGTCCAACGCTTAACCGACTGAGCCACCCAGGCGCCGCCAGGGTGTGGGTGTGAGTTTTGATGAACTTGAGCCGGGGTGGGCCGGGAAGGGGCGGAGCAAGCGGCCCTGACTGTCCCCGTCGCCCCCAGTACCGCCTGGCGCCCATCCCCCGGGCGCGGCACTACTTTGCCTGCGCCAGCCTCGTCTTCGTCTGCATCCTGCTGGTCCAGGCCCTGCTCATGCCCAGGTCAGTCGGGGTGGGCGGGATGCGCGGGCCCGGGGCCTGGCAGCGCCCCCAGAAAAGCTGCGTGCGCTGCCCGACTGGCAGGAGGGGCCTGGAGTCCCAGAGACTGGACCAGGGGCTGTGGCCCACACCTGGGCCCACCAGTGCTTACTTTTGTTTCCATCGAACGTGCTCGTCCTGTCAAGCCGCAGGCCTTCCCAGTCCCCTGAGACCTGTGCGGCCCTGTGGGCGTGTGGCCTGAGGCGACCGCTGTCCCAGAAGGCAGACTCCTAGAACCGTAGCCACCTCCAGCTCCCTCTTAGATGTGGGAAACTGAGGCTCAGAGGGCTTCGTGCCCTATCCGGGTGCAAGGCCCCTGTTGGTGGGGGACGGCGGGGTGGGGGGAGGTCACAGGGAAGGAGTGAGGTCAGCTACGTGGTGGTTTCTGGAAGTGGGGTGAGGTCAGAGGATCCACTAGGATTGGGGTTTAGGATGTGCTTCCTAAAGACAAACTAGGCAGAAGCCCTTCCGTCTGGTACTTCCGGGGCGGCCGTGGGTCTGAAGGCTGCGTGCCCACCCGTTTCTTAGATACGTGGCCCCGGCCTCGTGCATGAGTGGGGCAGCTGGACCATGGTGCTCAGAGATCCCCTTTGCTGAGTGCATATGGCAGTTTGGGGGGGGCAGGAGGCGGCTGGGAGCCTGAGAATTGGGGTGCTGGGGGTTGGGGAGCATGCCTGTGGCTTGGCCCTGGGCCGACGGTCCCCCAGACCTAGGGTTTTCTGCTCTCCAGGATGGCGGCTCTGGGTGTGTCCTTTGGGCTGGTGGCCTGCGTGCTGGCGCTGGTGTTGGGCCTGTGCTTTGCCCACGAGTTCTTGGTGAGTGGGAGCACTTGACCGGGCACCTGGCCCTGCGCCGCCGGCCCTCCGCGCCCCTCCTGCCCGGGGGACAGTTTGCAGAGCGCTTCTCCCAGGAATGCCACCTTCCCGGGCTGCCGGGGGCCCCCAAGCGGCTGCGGCTGTCCCCGGCCCTGAGGGTGGGAGCGTCCCCTCTATCTGTGCACCCGTGCGTCCTGAGCTCTGGGCCTGAGCTCTAGTGGAGCTCTCGGGAGCCCTCATGTCTGTCCACTTGGCCCTTGGGCCGAGGGGTCCTTGTCCCGGAGCTGGCGCCGGCCCCCTGACCCCGTGCCTCCACAGAGGTGCTGCCCGGCCTGGGGGATGTTGCAGGCCATCTCCGAGAGCGTGGAGACCCAGCCCCTGCTGCGCCTGTCCCTGGCCGTCCTGACTATTGGCAGCCTGCTCAGCATCGCCATCGTCAACCTGGTGGGTTCTGGGGGGCGGGTGGGGATGGCGGGCCCTGGCGAGGAGCCCTCCTGCCTGTGCGTGCTTCCTGGGGGGATGGGGGAGCCAGTCCTAGACCCTGGGCACCTTCAGGTTCTCGAATCCCACAGTCTCCTGCCCGAGAGCTGCATCTGGCATAGCTCTCTGCAGGGCCCTGTGGGCGGGCTCCACGAGGCCCCTGAGATGGGCCTGGGCTCCTTCCCCTTCACTTTTCACACGAGGACCTGGGGCCCCCAGAGAGCTTACATGGCCAGCCCCACAAGGACAGGATGTCTTGAACCACCAGTGTTCTTGGCATCTTCTACCTTCTTCATCATCATCCTTCTACCTGGGGAGGCCCTGGCTTACTCTCTCTGAGACTCCGTTTCCTCGCTAGGGCGAGTGGCCCTGGGCACAGGCTGGGGAGGACACTTGAGCTCCTGCTTCTCAGGCCTCGCTCACGTGCTCAGTGCTGCGGACAGCACGTGTCCCTGCTGGTCCTCCCAGCTCTGACCTCTGGAGCCAGGGGCTCTCCGTGTCCCTGAGACCCGGTGACCACCACACTCAGGGTCTCCTGGGGAGAAGGGGGCTCACTGACTACGCTGATCCCAGCTTCTCCCCTGCCTCCCCCAGCCCCGAATCAGCCTCTGATGCTTTGGTGATGGTGCACATGGGGCTTCATTTTACACCCTCCTCCTCCCCGGACCTCTCCCCTCCGGGAAGTAGATGCCTGTGGCCGGGAGTCCGGGCACCGCGGCTCTGGGCGTGCCTGGAGCTGGGCCTGGCAGGTCCTAGAGTCCCAGGTCCCTGGGCCACCCCTCATGGTGACCTGTCTTCTCTGCAGCCGCTGATGCCTTTCTCGGCCCCGGGGCTGCCTGCAGGCAACCAGACGAGCCCGAGGCCTGGGAGCAACATGTGCGGGCTCCTCCCGGTGAGTGCAGCCGGGCCCTGGCCCAGACTGCTGGGCCCCGCGTGCCCCCGCTGGGCCCTGCTCCTGCGCAGTGCCCCGCCTGAGTGCAGGAGGCCACGGGGTGCGGGGGAGCGGAGTCCAGCCCCTCCCAGGAGATGGAGAGAGCAAGGCCCAGCCGGGGCCGAGGTGGCCTCTGATCCCGGAGGACACAGGGCCTTCGGGGCCGGGGCTGCTTCATCCAAGGCGCGAGGAGGGGCCCCGAGAGGTTGACTGGTTGGCCTCATGGGTGGTGGAGCCATGACTGGCCTCAGGCAGGCCGACAGCAGAAGCCAGGTCTGGGGAGCCCCGATGCGCGGCAGCGGAGGGTGGGGGACTTCCGCGGGCCGTGGTGAATTTTGAGCTGGTCTCTGAAGGACAGAAAGGTTCTGGGACAGGGAGAAAAGCTGAGGCACGCAATGGGAGCCCGCAGGGCTTCAGGCGGTGGTGTCGTGGGGAGGCGCGGGGACAGCTGAGACACGGAGCCGGAGGTAGGTTTGATCCAGATCGGGGGTGGGGACGGAGCCTGAGTGCCTGGATAGAGAGCTTGGTCTCTCTTTGGGGGGCAGTGGGGAGCCACAGCATGATCTTGAGCGGGAGAGGGACACGGGCAGCGATGCCCTTTGGGAAGGGCAAGCTCGGGGCAGAACTGGAGGCGGGGAGGCTGTTCAGGGGTGTGCGTACTGCTGCCCTCACCTTTGTCACATCCACAGGCCACTGCAGTTGTAGTTACTTTTTTCCCCTCCCTTCAGTGAGTTCACCTGCCATAAGTAGAAGTAAAAATAGAGTAAAAACAACGCGATGCTCCAAAGTTCTAGACTGTGTGGTCTGCTCTTTGCTAAGAAGGGAGGTCATCAAGGCTGAGAGCAGTGTTGCACATGCGCTGGCCCTTCACGCCCCTCCCCACCCCCCCGGCGCTGGAAAGGGGCTTGGAGTCAGGGTGCCGGCGCCAGAGAGGCGCCCCGTCCTGGTGACCTGGGTCCAGGAGCTGCCTCATGGTGAGCGACACCCCCCATCACCCCAGTATTACACCTGTAGCTGCATCCTCGCCTTTGTCGCTTGCTCGGTCTTCCTGCGGATGAGCCTGGAGCTGAAGGTCGTGCTCTTGACCGTGGCCCTGGTGGCCTACCTGGTGCTCTTCAACATCTCCCCGTGCTGGCAGTCGGACTGCTGTGGCCACGTTGTGGACAACCTCACCGAGACCAACGGTACCCTCAGGTGGGGCCCAGAGCACCCTGTCCCCCTGCCCGTCTCGAGTGTGGTCCGTGGGGTGTCATGTTGAACCGTGCTGTGCTGGCCTTCACAGTGCCATTGGCCTGGACACCTGGGGGCTGGGCTGGCAGGTGGCATGGTCTCCATTTTACAGGAGGGGACGTGATGGTCCCAGGTCCGTACACTCAGAGCTGGAGTGTCACTCATCTGCAGGTTCTCTGGGGGACATCCCGAGACCCACGGAGGCTTCCTGGATCCTCCTGTCTCTACGCCATTCTTGGGGTGCGGGGGGGAGGCTTCGGCTCTAGCCCGGTCCCCCTCCTTGAGCCGTGTCCCGGATCTCCAGAGTTCTGGAAACAACAGTTGTCTCCGGTCTGTCCCTGGACTGGTGGCTGAGCCCTGTGGCGTGGGAAGGGATGGTGTGCTTCTGGGGGCTCTCGGCCCCAGGTGGGTTGAGGAGAGGGACCTGGCTCCCCTTAAATTTGGGGGCCCAGAACAAAATCTGCTCCCCTGGGTTTGCTGACAGCTGCAGTCCCTGACTTGGAGGAGTGCTTGGCTGTCCCCTCACCTGCCTGGAGTGCTTTTCCTTCAGACGTCACTTCAGTGAGGCCTCCCCCACCTCCCAGTCAGACCATCTTCTCTTGTCACCCCGAAGTCGCTTGTTTCGTGTCTGTGCCCTGAGGATGTGAGCTGAGGGCAGCCGTCTGTCCCGGGCTCGCGTCTGAGGGCCGGGCACGATCGACTCTGGCCTTTCCCCTTCGTGTCCCGCAGCTCCCCGTTCTGTGTGTGGAAGGACGCGAAGGCGATGACCAATTTCTACCTGGTTCTGTTCTATGTCACCCTCCTCATGCTCTCCAGACAGGTAGGGCCCCGTGCTCAGCGGCGGGGGTGGGGTTTGGGGGGGGGCGGGACACAACCGGGCCGGGGCATCTGCAGATTTGGGGCTGCATGGGAGACAGAGCCCAGTACGGAAACCCTGGTCCCCAGGTCCTCACCTCCCCACATCCCCTCCTCTCAGGACACCAGTGACATTTGGTCACGTGGGTCACTTGGAGAACCGAGTCCCGGCTGACTGGCATTCTGAGGCCACGGGGAGGTGGCCGTTGAGCTGGGGACGTTAGCCGGGGACACAGGGTGGAAGCACTGAGGGGCTGGCTCAGCAGGCCCCGGGGCGACACTTGTGTCCTCGTGTCCCCGCTCACAGCGGCCAGGACACCGATGTTGCCCGTTGTCCGCAGATTGACTACTACTGCCGCTTGGACTGTTTGTGGAAGAAGAAGTTCAAGAAGGAACACGAGGAGTTTGAAACCATGGAGAATGTGAACCGCCTTCTTCTGGAGAATGTCTTGCCAGCCCACGTGGCCGCTCACTTCATTGGTGACAAGTTAAATGAGGTGTGGTGCTGGCGGGCGCTGGGTGGCCCCGGGTAGGGAGAGACGGAGGGTACCTGGGGCCCGCACTTCTGGGGGCCGTGGGGCCGCCCGGGGGCGGGTGGTTTGGGCACCAGCGGCATGTCCAGGCCTCTGTGGTCCGGACGGTCCGTGCGGATGAAAATGTGCGTGGTTCACGGGTTCCGTGCCGCAGCATTTTACGGAAGAGGACCCAGGCCCCCTGACTGTGACCTTGGCCCGCCCTGCGCGGCTCTCAGCGTCCGCCCCGGGACCCAGGGTAGCGCCGAGTCAGAACCACCCAGAGCCCGCCCCAACCAGTGCACTCAGATGAGAGTCTCAGGCATAAGGCAGGCCGAGCGACACTCGCGTTGCGCCCCCGGCCCCTGAAAGTTTTGTGGGACGGCCGAGGGGCCACGTCCCTGTGCTTGCTTGTCCCCTGGCACGGCCGGCTGGCGCAAGGTCGTCTTCTGCCCGCCCCCATCCAGGACTGGTACCATCAGTCCTACGACTGCGTGTGTGTCATGTTCGCGTCCGTGCCGGACTTCAAAGTTTTCTACACGGAGTGCGACGTCAACAAGGAGGGGCTGGAGTGTCTGCGCCTGCTGAACGAGATCATCGCCGACTTCGACGAGGTTCGGGCAGGGTGCGGGCCCCCCAGATCGGGAGAGGGATGCATGCGCCTTTCTCTGCGTTTCTCTCAGTAAGCGCTTTGTTACCTTCTCTGCGAGGGGCAGATGAGGGTCCTTGAAGAAGGCAGCGGTGCCCTTATCTGTGGTTTGCCGGCCGCATGAGCAGATGACCCCCCTCCCGACACATGGCCAGGAGGTCGGTAGTGGCCAAACGCCGTGTCGCAGCGTCCCTGTCATGTGCCTCGCTTCATCTCATCACCAGGAGGAGGAGGAACGAACGCAGTACAGGAAGAGTTTTTGAGAGAGGGACCCTTCACGTAATTTTATCAGGGCACGTGGTTCTGTTGTAACCTTTCACCGTGCCTGATTTCTAACTAAACCTCATCACAGGCGAGTTCGTGGGCGAGAGAGCACACGCTGTGGAGGGCTCGGGACCCTGTGGTGCCAGGCAGCCACTGGGGTCTGGGAGTGGGTAAGGGGGGCTGCTGTAGTTTGATTCCCAGCCAAGCCCACGCTGCCAACTCTTCCAGAGGAAGTCCGTCGGTTTGGACTTCATTTTTTTTTTTTTTAAGATTTTATTTATTTATTTGACAGGAGAGACACAGCGAGAGAGGGAACACAAGCAGGGGGGGTGGGAGAGGGAGAAGCAGGCTTCCTGCTCAGGGAGCCCGATGTGGGGCTCAATCCCTGGGATCGTGACCTGAGCCGAAGGCCAACGACTGAGCCACCCAGGCATCCCTTAATTTTTTTTTTAAGGATTTACTTACAGCACACAAGCAGGGGGCAGGGGCACAGGGAGAGGGAGAGAGAATCTTAAGCAGGCTCTACGCTCAGCACGGAGCCCGATGTGGGGCTCGATCCCAGGACCCTGAGATCATGACCTGAGCTGAAACCACGGGTCAGATGCTTAACTGACTGAGCCACCCACGCGCCCCTTGGATTTCGTTCTTAGCTGCAAACATTCGACATTCCTGGGTAGATCCTGTTGGGCTGTGCTTGCTCCTTAAGAACGAGAGTCCTGACGCAAACGGGAGGACCGGCAGCAGGGACAGAACCAGAGGCCTCGTCCCTGCGTGGACTCGGCTGTCCACTCACAAGGGAAGGCCGAACATGAGAAATGTCGGCATTAGGAGCAGTGGCGGGAGGGACCCCACCCCTTCTCAGACCTCGGGGTGTCCCTTTGTCCCGCAGCTGCTTCTAAAGCCCAAGTTCAGCAGCGTGGAGAAGATCAAGACCATCGGCAGCACATACATGGCAGCCGCAGGGCTCAGCAGCCCCTCAGGGACTGAGAACCAGGTACTGAGCTGAGCTGGTGGCCTCGCGTCCCAGTCCCCCACTAGGGGGACTCAGCAGGTCCCAGGCCCGTCCTATGAGGGAGGGGCAGAGGACCTCGCCGCCCAGCCTCCTGGCCGCCTGACACCCAGTGCAGGCGGGAAGTCGGGGCCGGGGACCCGCGGCCCCCGTGCGCAGCGCTCTGTCCCGCAGGACCTGGAGCGGCAGCATGCGCACATCGGCATCCTGGTGGACTTCAGCATCGCCCTGATGAGCAAGCTGGACGGCATCAACCGGCATTCTTTCAACTCCTTCCGCCTCCGAGTTGGTGAGGGCCCAGAGAGCGGGGCCCGGCTCGGGGAGGGTGGCTGGGCCCGTGCCTCCTGGCAAGCGCATGCTCAGGCCTGATGGTGCACTTCACTGTCTAGCGGGAAAGCCTTGAGAACGCCCTCTCGGTCTTGCAATGCTGGCGACAGGGCAATTACTCTTCCTTGGCATTCTGTTTATAAAGTTAGCTTTGGAAGTTGTGAGTAGATAGGAACAGAACCCTACAGAAAACGGAGAACCCCCAAATCACCTTCTGTAAACCTTACAACATCCTGAGAACAAAACCAAGTTACTGACCTAACTACCCCGTGTTAGCTGCAGGGCTGGTGCTCACAGCCTGTTTGTTCTTGGTTGGGAGATGAGCAGATGCTAGAAAAGTGCTAACCGCAGCCCAACTTCTGGAGCAAGCAGCCGGAAGAGGGCTGCCCGGGGGTGCCTCTCGTGCACCCCAAATGAGCACTCCTGTCACGGGCTTGGGAAGCCCCCTCTAGCCATTTCAGCTGTTGGTCGGTGTTTTCTGTGGCTGCTGCTAAGGGCAGAGCCTGAGGCTTGGCCTCCCTGACCCAACCGCAAATGTTCCCTCCAGGCATAAACCACGGGCCCGTGATTGCTGGAGTGATTGGGGCACGAAAGCCTCAGTATGACATCTGGGGAAACACGGTCAACGTTGCCAGCCGGATGGAGAGCACTGGAGAACTTGGCAAGATCCAGGTACAACCCAGCTGGGGAACCTATGACCACAGGGGGAGGAACTTCCCAGAGGCGCAGGGACCCGGGCATCGGTCAGCAATGTGACTCCAGCCCTGATGTGCTTGAGGGACACCAGACCCGTGTGCTGCTTGGGGCTGGTTTCTGCCTGACCCCCCACAGCAGGTGTTCTTCCTGCTTCCCAAGACTGTTGGCCTTTTCTTTTCAGGTTACTGAAGAAACATGCACCATCCTCCAGGGACTAGGTTATTCTTGCGAGTGCCGGGGACTGATCAACGTCAAAGGCAAAGGCGAGCTGAGGACTTACTTTGTCTGTACAGACACTGCCAAGTTCCAAGGATTGGGACTCAACTGAGGGCTTCTGGTAGGTGCAGAACATGCTGGAAGCGGATTTCCTTTCCTGAGGCAAGCCAAGGGGAGCACTCAGCCCCACGCCAGTCACAAAGGCATTCCAAGGGTTTGGCCGTCACTACCCCGGCAGATGACTATGTGGAGCTTCCTCGGATTTGTGCTAGAGGATTCCTGGGAACATGCATCAGACCCTCACCTGAGGCAACCACGGAGCCTTGCCACCCACAGGCAGCCAGGACCTCTGTGCCGTCCGAGTCTGCACCACAGCTTCTAGACAGCGTGGACAGGCTCACTCATGAGGTCTGGATGCTCAGTCCCCTCGGGGCTGTGGCGATCTCGGAGCATGAGCCATACATACCCTGCCTGGCCTGCGAGCTGCACACGCGGGCCCGGTCTTTTCTAGGTACAGAACTAGGACAAGTCGTCCAGGACGGGCTGGGTACTCCTTTCTGCCCCAGCGGATCAGCCACAGGATTCTGCATTGCTCACACAGGCATTTCGGTAAATAGAGCTGATAAGGCTGTTTTCAATCTGTGGTTTCATGCAGCAGGGAGGAAAAACCACAGCGGGCACCTGCTACCTCTTGTCATCTCCGGCGTGTCTGTTTTAAATGGCTATACTATTGGTGGAGGTTTTATCCTTTTTAATGAGTTCTTAGATGCTAGACAAAGTCTCTTCCCTCCAGCGTACTGTCTTTTTAACCACTGACACGGAAGGAGAACCTACCGTCCAGCGTCCGGGGCTTGGGCCTGGAGTGTGGCTCACGGCAAGAAGGCAGGCGGTGGCGTGGCCCAGGAAATGAGGCACCACCTCCTACCCCCTCCCCGACTGCTCCCCCGTGTGGGGCTCGCCCCTGCAGTCTTCCGCTAAATCTTCGCTTCTGTGGTGGAAAGGAATGGAATCTGTGCAGACAGGACGCAGGCAACCTGTAGCACTTCTTTTCTTTAGTCCTCACACCTAACTTGAAGAGCTTCAAAACGAAAAGCTTCTGCTCCACATGAGCGTGCAAAGAGGTTCCCGTATGTGGGAAGCCAGCCCGCTCGGAAATGCTGGGCTGGTCTTGCTCTGAACTGCATGAATCAAGGCGAGTGCGAAATGCCAGGTCCGCGAGATGCATCTCACAGCACTTCAATTTTCAAAGACTCAGAAGTTGGCTTGAGTTGTGTTTCCAGGTGAGAAGGAACCAAACTGCCCATTCCTTTTTCTGGATCAGCTTTGCTGCCTCATCAGCAGTGCGCACCCGGGGTTTCTCACACAGCTGCATTTCACTGCAGAGCAGGGATTCCCAGCTCGGGGTCCTCCGGGAACCCCCAGCCATTACAGGAAATCTTGCATATGGGAAGCTTCAAAAGCGGACACAGGGTTGCAGCCAAGGGCAGGGAGGACTGAAGCTGAACCCGCTGTCTGCTCGGGCCATGTCTGCGGCTTATCAGCCTGAGAAGGGGCTTATCTCGTTTGCCCAGAGGAGCCGGATGCGCTAGCGGCTGAGGCTTGTATGTCACTGGGAGAGAGATGAATGAATTACAGGAACTTGCTGTACAAAGGAATTTTATGGCAAAAATGCTGTTAAGGGATAACCTCACTTAAAAACTGCTTTTCTGCACCAACTTTTCATATAAAGGGCTGGTGTCGGGTGAGTACTACACTGCGACCCGGACACTTAAATCGGCAGTGACCAGGGCCGCTCAGCAGGGCTCTCCTCGGAGGTCAGGAAGGTTCTGTCATGGATACGATACCGGACACACCTAGGCATGCTGGGTCTCTCTGAGGTGGGCCTACTTCTACTCTTGCAATATTAAATTACTTTTTTCCTCCAGCAACAGAAATCCAGTCCTCTCTTTTTATTTCCAATTCAAACACGGTGCTCCGATAAGCACATTTTGGGAAGTTTTGAGTTTCTGATGTGCCGAGTATGGTGTGGAACGGACCCTAAAAGGCACCTGCAGTCACGTTTGCTCAGTGTGTTTTCCAGGGGCTCCTCACAGGTGTCATTCTGTTTGTTTTATGACAGGACAAGTATCTTTTCTAACACTGACCTTTCCTAGGGGTCACGGGCCGGCGTGAAGGGGGCCTCCCCCACTCTAGTGAAAGTCACACCTGAAGTTTTCTGGTTTACTCATTAAGAAAATTAAGTAAGATCATTAACCACTGTATACATGGTGTATATAATACGTCATGTCCAAAAACAGGTTTTGAGAAGGTACATCCGAATAACTAGGAATGACTCTGTATACTGAATATTTATAGATCTGTAACATTTGTTTCAAAATGTTATACTTCATTTTTATAAAGTACCAGTGTTTCTACTTTGTTTAGCCTTTCATATATTCAATCAGCAATTTGGAAAAACAAGTGTTTTGAATTTCAGTTTTCTTGGTCTGTTTAAGAAAATCACTGCCTGAATTATAATCGAAAGATTAAAATTATTAAACTCTAAAAAAACTTGATAAAATACATAACTGGGGGCGCCTGGGTGGCTCAGATGGTTAAGCGTCTGCCTTCGGCTCAGGTCATGATCTCAGGGTCCTGGGATCGAGTCCTGCATCGGGCTTCCTGCTCCTTGGGAGCCTGCTTCTCCCTCTGCCTCTCTCTCTCTGTCTCTCATGAATAAATAAATAAAATCTTATAAAAAAAATACATAACTGAACAATTTTGAAGTTCTTTTGGCATACGATTTTTAGTAGGTTTTTAAGACTGGGTCGTCTTGGAGAATCAGTTTTCCTTCACCCCACTTGTTCTTGCTAAATCTTCGTTTTTAAAGTCAGGAAAATAAAAACGCTTCCACCCGGCGGGGGGGCGGGGGAGATGAAGGGGCGGGGGGTCTTACAAAGCAGAGTTCCCTGAAGCAGGCTGCCACGTGGTGCCTGGTTATGGAAGAGAACCTCATGTCTCCTGGTCTCCTACTCCATTATCTGCTCAAGCAGCCAACCTTTGTATTTCAGATAAAAGTAGAGGACTCTCAGTTCAGGGGACACGCTGAGGCACAGGTGGCCCGGGAGAAACAGTAAACAGAAACGTAAACTTTCCTTTAAGCTCTGTGATTCCCTAAGTGACCTTCTCAAAAATGAAAAAAAATAAACCAAACAGGACCACCAGACGGGTTAGTACTATGAAACTCCTGGTGTGATGTTGGGGGGTTGGTTGGGGGAGAGAGAGGGTGGCATGGGGAGGTACGTCACCTCATCTTCTACAGGAGGACATCATTCCCATCAGGTATGCAGGGGACATACACTTAAAGTAATTTTAGAATCTACTAGTATTTGTTTTCATGGTATAACGATGGAAAATCTCACTGGATGGGGATTTTAGAGAAGCGTCTGAGCTCCGGTCCCGTGTGTGCCCTAAGGAAGTAGCGCTGTCATTCCGACCCACTGTGCCCAGGCCCACTCCGGATGGCAACAGGTCAGAGTCCGTCCTAGTCCTTCCTCACGAGGACCTTCTTTGAATAAATCATCTAGGTAAAATCTGTAAGTCGGAACTCTTTGGTTTAATTTCTTTAACGAGGAGTTCTGACAAGTGTGGTAAAATGAGGGAGTTCAATTATTTGGGGGCCTTGCTGCTTTAACGAAGGGTCCTGAAAAGGCTGTTTTATTTCCTAAGTGTTTCTCTATCACCTCAGCCCCGGGGAAAGGTCAAGAGCGACTCAGCTGACAGCACAACACAGCTCATAGTCCCAGGCTCAGCTTTATTACCTAAGACAAGTCCAATCTCTGGAACGTTAAAATTAACTGTTCCAAAGTTCAATTAAAAACACAATTTACAAATATTTTATATCTTCTGAAAAGCATCTCCAGGTTAAGAATGAAAAAAGTATGTACAGACTATATAATGAAATACCAGTGAGCTTCAAATCCCACTGGGTCCACACTCGGCAACGTCAGTCTTTCTCGGGTCTTCAAAATCTGAAAGGAAAGGTTACGGCCTCATTCAGCACTTTCCCCCTTTTACTTAAAAGGTAAAGGTATCATCCAGAAGAATAAGTGCTGACAGCCCTTCTTTACCAAGGTTAAAGACTAGATATACCACCAGGGTATCATTGTAGGGTTTTTTTGGCAAATGTGTCAAATCTTTATTTCCTTTACGTCTTGTCTAAAGAATTAATGAAAAGTTTTACAGCACCAACACGCAGAGACAAAAATCTTTCCAATATTACTCGAGGGGAGAGGACTGATGTTCCTTTTACTCACAACAGTCTCCGTCCTCCCAGACACACAGGGCACATACCTTCCGTTAAATCTACAAAGTTGTTTTCCATGAGGGGGGAGGGGATGGAAATCCCCATTGCTTTTCGAACTCCATACGTGCTGACAATGTCGCCTGGAGTGACTTGCTGCGCAAGTTCTTTCAGATTGTTGGTTACCTGTTCAGCTAGGGAGAAGAAAAGAAAAACAGTTCTAGGTGTTAAAATGTGGTTCCTTTACATGATAATAAACAAAAATCAAAAGACCAATAGGAAGTTGACCCTGGAACACCAGGGGTTGGAGCTGTGCTGGTCCACAGATACATAGATTTTTTTTGTGTGTGTGGATAAATACAGGACTGTAAACCTATTCTCTTCAACGTTAACATTTTCTTTTCTTTAGCTTTACTGTAAGAAACAGTATGTAATACATGTGACGTACAAAATACGTCTTAGTTGACTGTAGGTAAGGCTTCCAGTCAACAGAAGGCTATTACAGTAAAGTTTGAGGGGAGTCAAAAATTGCACGTGGATTTTCAACTGCGAGGGACGGGGGAGGAGGGAGGTCAGTTGGTACCCCCAACCCCCACATTGTTCAAAAAAGAAACCATCCATGGTTCACTTCAGCTCTGCTGACAGTGGTATCACTTCTCAGAAGGTTCTCCCTTTTAAGTATCCCCCGGTTCTCCTCTTACCGGAGGCGTAACATACCAAGATGCATTTCCCTGTAAGAGGGACCCAAGAGACAGATCATGTTGGGAGGGGGTCTGGTGCTCAGACGCTCGTTCTGGGCTTCCTGGAGCTCTCGGAGCAATCTGGTGGTCTCATCAAGTTTCCTCTGGAACATTTCAGCTTCTGTGTGGTACGAAGAAAAACACACTAATAAATAAATAAAATCTTTAAAAAAAAAAAAAGAAAAACACACTAAAGAAAACACGAACACACTTGTGTTTGATCTTGTGCAGTAAAGGGAGTCCTATGCTCTGGGGTTTTGCTACTTATTGGCTAGTCTTCTCTCCTCAATGAAATTAATACCAGAGACATGCTTCACTCTTCACAGAAGCACAGCCAGCCAAGATCTTCCTGTGGTGAACAGCTATGTCAATCTGGACTAATGTGACATTAAATTGTGACTGCCCAGGTCATGAAGTGACACACCTTCAGAGTCAAAAACTTCAACAGGAGCACCAAAATTTGTTACTGCTTTCAGTGCTGTGAGCCGGTCCTGATTACTGGAATCTAAACGCCCTGCTGGCTCTATTTCGGTAATCTGCTTTAAAAAACAAAACAAAACAAAAAAAAAGGAATTATTTGGGCTTGCTAGAATGAGAAATCATTAAGATGGTTTGTGTTTACAGGCCAAGTTATTCCACCTATTTACTTTGGAGTTACAATTTTGATACCTACAAAACCGTCTTCCCAGAATACTTGCGAAGTGCCATTCCCCAGTCCGGGCCAAACACCATCCACAAACACATACTTTCCGTTCCTGAAATAATGTGTCTTACAAAACACCCATCCTTTGTTCCATCTGGCAGCCACTCTAAAGATGAAAGGAACGAGAGCCTTGGTACTGCCTACGCCACGAAGAGCTTCTGGTTGACTGGGACGATGCCTCCTGTTTCCAAGGCTCACAGGCCATGCTTTGGCCCCCAGTGCGGATGCTTGCACTCCCACAGTAGAGCTCGAGCATGAGATACTTCCTGGGTCACCTCCCGGCCCCAAAGCCAGGCTGTCAGTATTACATGGGAGAAACAAAATCCTAAAATGGGTGGAGTTGTATTTTTGGAATGACGAGACTCAGAGTTTCCATAACCTCAACGCTGCTTTTGAGGAAGAGATGAGCCCAGATAACAAGCCACCAGAAATTAATGGTTCCATTTAGACACTGGGCATTGCATTCCAGATATTTATGTGAACCCCCGATCTCTCTACCTACTTATGGCTAAGAGTGTGTGGGGAGAAACTCTCGGTATATACTTATGGCTTGCCATCTGCGGGACCCCCACCACCCTACTTTTTACCCAGCCTCCTTTCCCATTCTCAAGATTTCTTGCGTTCCTGCCCTCTCACTAAGCACATGACCTTGCTGGAACCTCATTCCTTGCAAACATGGTTCTGTGGGTACCATTCCCACCTACATCTATCCTTCCTTGACCTCATCTTCAAGTTCTCCTTCCCCTCAGTTACTGGGGTCACATCCATCTGCCCTCACGTCCCTGCTTCCTCCACTCATTTAGCTCTCTGCCGCCTACCTCTGTCCCCATCATTTTGCTGACCCCGCTCTGATGAAGGTTACAAATGACAGCCTCCACTCTCCTCTTGCTGGGCTCCTTCCTGCAGGTCGTTCTTTTCGTGGTTCTTCTACCTCACCTACTGGGCTTCTCCAAGGTTCTGTCCTTCAGTCTTTACCCAGTGTTCTCTCTGGACAATCTCATTCACTTGAATGACTATAGTGAAACTCTACCTTTCCACCACCAACTTCCAGACCTGTACACCTGCAACCCAGATCTGGGAATCCCCTGCCACCCCAACAACGTCCCCAATCACCCGTGTGGGACGTCGAGTACAGCTTCTCTCCCTGCTGGAGGGGAGCTCCTTTCCCTACACTTTGATGGGAGCTCACGATGCCATGAGGTACCTCACACACCAGGTCCTGTGGACCTGACTTCTACTGTACTTTGTCTTTACTGTGTTGCCATGCTCGTCAGTGTTTTGCTCAGACAAGCCCCAGAGCTCTTTGGGTCCCCTCCTCCAGCCCCTCTCCCCTCCACGTTTCCTCAGAGCTTCCTGTCTTCTGGGGTAAAATCTCAGCTTCTCGGCACTGCCTGTAGCCTCTCTGTCGTCAGGGCCTCACCTGTGTGGGCCTCCCCACCTCCCCTCCTCTGCCCAGGCACCCCGCGCTCACACGCCAACTGCACTCTCTGCACACGGGCCCCTCCCGCCCACGTCCGCTTCTGTCACTATACATGCAGTTTCGGCCCCCTTCCCACCGCCTGCTGGGAGAATGTCTCTTCACCTTTCCAGGCCCAGCTGGCCCAGCACGCACTCTGTGAGGGCCGCCTCGGCCATGCAGAGCAGCTGGCCTCTGCAACCCGCACTCCTACAACATGTGCAGCATTTACACCGTGCGGTCCCCGGGGCTGGCCCCCAGGCTCCCATGCTCGTGTGCTGCCCTAGCTGCTGCCCCGCCCCCTGCCCCCTGCAGAGAGTGCTTTAATTTACGGAGATACGCAATAAATCATGCTCTTTTAAAACAAAGTTTTATCACTTAGGCCTTTTAGCTTATCCTCCATTTAAATATTTTTTATGAAGAATAAAATATAATCACCTCCATTTCTTTTGCTGGGTCAAGGGTCCTAGTCTGGCCTTCATCTTCTGGTGATGGCTAGAAGTATAAAGACAAGCAGCTTTTTATTAAGATATATTAAAAGATGTAAATATCAAGGAAAATAAAAAAAATATTAAGAGCTTCAAGGCAAGGAATAAGAATATGGATTACTGGAGTTTTTTTAAACCTAAAACAAGTTAGATATAATAAGTTACATTTTTTTTTTTTTAAGATTTTATTCATTTGACAGCGCGAGAGAAATAGAGCAGGAACACAAGCAGGGGGAGTGGGAGAGAGAGAAGCAGGCTTCCCGCCGAGCAGGGAGCCCGACGTGGGGCTCGATCCCAGGACCCTGGGATCATGACCTGAGCCGAAGGCAGACGCTTAATGACTGAGCCACCCAGGCGCCCCCATAAGTGGCATTTTGAGAGTATTTGAGTCAAGAGTACCTATTACTGGTAACTTCAAGAATGATCTGTGTCTGAGCAAAAAGCTATACATATATATATGAAGGTACCTGGTAAATAGCAGAGAAGTGCCTACTAAATGGAGTTGGTTTTCAATGACAGGTAAATCTATGGCAAGGAGAAAACAGGAGGCACTCTAGGGACTAATTTGCATTAAGAGAGCAATATTCTCAGATAGCAGAGGATTACCGTAAAATATTCAAATGCTATGGAGAATGTGAAAGCTTCCCATAATCCTAGCTGTCAGAGATCACGCATACCTAAACAACAGGCAAATGTATTGTGCCCGAAAATCAATAATGATGTGATTTTTTTTGAAAGGTTGTATTATGATTTTTTAACCAATTCCCAATTTTTTTATATTATAAACAATGTATCCTTACATGTAACTTTTTTTAATTTTCTAAGATACAGTCTGAGCAAACTGCTGGATCAGTGGACAGAGAAACTTTAGATCTGAAATCGACTGCCCTACCAACCAAATGAAAGCTATTCAATTTTAGCTCAAGACTATTAATTCAGATTGTTGGGAGGGTCAGAGGAAAAATATTTCTGAACAGATGAGAAGTGGCATGTTTTTTAGGTCACGTGAGAAAAGTCGTTCCTGCGCGAAGCCTGCATGTACAGCAATTCTCACTGAACGTGAGGTGCTGACTCAGCACTGCTGAGAGTTACCCCAGGGACTGGCAGCCACGTGCGGCAGAGGACAAGGTGGCAGCAGCCACAGCCCTCAGGAAGAGCTAGGACCCCCAGAGACACAGGGTTCTCCTAACTATGGTGACAAGGACATTCTGGAGCTCGACTCTCTTCTACTTATCAGGAGGAACATTTTCTGGTTCTAATCTTGGAGCTGAGGGTGTGAATTATTCCAGATGATGAACTATGTCCGACTGGACTGGAGACAGGTTACAAGTGTTAATAACAGAGCAAAGCGGAAGCTTCTTTTTTCCTTGCGGCCCCACCACTGTGTTGTTACTGAGTAATAAAGAAAAGAACATTCTCTATCATTTTAGTCAATTCCGTTCCAAGCCAGTGAGCGAGACTTCCTTTTTTGTTAGGGTACACAGCACCAGCTGACTTCTGAGTCGTCAACCCCATTCTGATTCCTACATTCCCAAGATTGGGAGATAATGACAGTCTCCTGGCCCTCACAGACCCTGGTAGCTGACTTACCCATTTCCGTTCATTGTCCTCCACCCACGGTCCCCACCCAGGCTGGCCTGGCTTTTCAGGGGAATGCAGCTTAGCTGTCACCCTGGTGACTCCCATGGTTTCATAACACCGAGTGACTAATGCTAAGAGCCAATAATAAATTACCCATTTCTTTAGCAGCCTTCTTACCATCTCCAACTCTTGCAGGGTTCTAGAATGACCTCCTTTTGTTAAAACATCCAGTAAACTGTCTGCCATCACATAGGGATAATCCTGGCACGTGGCCAAAAACTCATGGATGCTGAAAGAGAGTGTGTTGGGAAAGTCACTTCCATATAAATCACCTCCGTCAGCTGAATCTTCCTATCCCAGCCAACTGTTTCTGTCAGACACGCCTTAATTTACACGCCACGGTGTAAAATTTTCCATCTAGGTACAACACCCTATTTATATATTTACCTTTATCATCTTGAGCAAACTAAACAATATCAAGAACTCAGAGACATGAAATGCTCCTGGGGAAACCTTCCAAGAGAAGTAAGACTCTCTCAATGACGGAGGCTCCAGGGCTCAGTCCTGGACTTGCTCCTGCCCTTCACTTCCTCCCTAAGGTGACCTTATTCACCTCAGGACTTACATGTGGACTAAGAGTCTCCAGGTTACACCTCCAGTTCGGACCACACCCCTTGGATATACACGGGTCTATCAGTGTTTCAGAAGAACGTGGCATTCTGGATACTGAAGAATTGGTCACTCACCTGAAATCACTGGGAAGATCAGAGTCTTCCCCATAGGCTGAATAGATCAGATCCGAATCGTCCTTGCTGATATTTGCAAATGTGGAGTCATAATGCGGAGCATAAGAACTGTAGGGTCCGTAGTTCAAGTATAACACTGTGGACAGAAATCAAATACTACAGTACTGTTCTTTCACTTGCGTGTCAATCTAATTTCTGTTTTATTAAAGATCATTCCCTTCTAATTTTATTACCTCACTGACTGGCATAACAAATCCAAGGTAGCTATTTTCCCTCACGGATCCTTGGGAAGTCACAACTCAAGTGACTTTTTCCCCACAAAGGAGAGACAGAGGAAAGAAAGCACAAAATTCATTTTGAATACTAATAGCTGATTTTTCAGTTTCTTCCGAAGTTAATAAAACAGCTGATTCATGTTGCAAAACTAGCACCAAGAGAGTTAAAGAAATGGTAATTATGCTTTTCTCCCCGCCAAATGCTTGAGCGAGGAGAGAAACATGAAGCCTTACCTGGAGTGACTTTGTTCCTTTTGTCTTCCTTGAACCCCTGCAAAGTATTTACTCCAGACTGAAGCCTTCCAGTTGTCATTCCCAGTCTCACAGGGCAGTAGCCTGGTTCTGAAACAAGAGCAGGCCTGGTGTGGGAGGTGCACGTGATAAGGAGCCCGGGGGGCACTCTGTGGGCCGTCTGCACGCACACTGCTTCATGCGGTCTATATGACTCTGTCCAGGAGTCTGGGTGGCCCTTCGTACACCCATCTTTCACCCACGAAAATCTCAGCAAGGGAGGACTGTAGCCAAGACCTGAACCTGGTCCTTTTCATTATGCTCTACTGCTTCTTGTAATTCTTTATAATCACGTTGCATTTCACTTAAAAAAATTTAAGGATTTAAAGGTTGAAACTTTATTTTGATAGGAGTAAACCAGTAGAAAAGGTTAGCAAAAGACTAAGGAAAAACACCTGATTAAAGACAAGAACTCATAATCTATTCAGGAAAGACTGGTATCTACGAGGCATGCTATTCCACCCTGGAACAGAGGCTGCGGCCACAGGTGACCACAGTGATAAACTGAAAGCACTAGTGAGGAAGGTGGCACACCTAAATTGGGTCTTCTCTCCCTTTCAGCAAGCAGTCTGGAATTTGGCAGGAAGAAGGAGCTGAGAAGGAACAGGGGGCAAAGCCTGCACCTTAGACCAGGATGCTGGCTCCTTGGGGGCTGCTGCCATGTGCGGAGCCAGCTGGGCCTGGGCCACGCTGACCCTGCCTCTAGCAGCCGGAAATGCAAGGCAGCAGAGCAAGGGCACAGACTGCTGGACACACAAAAAGGGGCAGATCTTAAGGTGTCCCCTAAATCATTAGTTGCATCCCCTTCCCACCAAATTTCCACAATAGCTATACTAGAAAGCGCCATGTTCTCAGTCTGGCGGCACTTCCTTTGATCCAAGACCATATAAACTTCTACTATGCAAAGTTCGCATAAAAGCAAAAAGTGAGGTTTTCTACGCCCCCCCCCCCCCCCCGACACCAGTTCCTCTTCTTCTAAGTGAAGGAACTCCGCCGGCGTTTCAAGAGCAGAGTGCGATGCGCGAAGACACTGAGAGGCTCCCCGGTTAGCCCTCAAATGCATCCGGCTCTTCCCGGCTGCTTCGATGTCTCTTACCCCCAGCCCCTCACCCTCACTCACTTTTTTGGGACCAACCTAAGCATCACCTTGCTAAGGAATAAGGAAGCCTTCTCTGGCCCCCAGACACTAGATGGGCCCTTTCTGTTGTGTCCTGTCACAGCTGCCCTCTTCCAGGCAGACGAGCGGCAGCTCTTCACGCAGTGACTGGCGTTCGTGCCTCCACGCCCCACCCCACAGACAAGACGGGAAGGGACGCGTGCCTCCCGTTGTCCCCTATGACACACTGCGCTCCACTTCCAGCTCCCAGGCCTTGCCCGCAGCAAAACGGTTAAGTCCTGGAGACTGCTCCCTGAAGTGTCATCATTCGTCTCTGTATGCCCAATGCTTGCTCTTGTAACGGCAGCAGGAAAATGGGTATTTACAAAATAACATTCTCACCTTTGCTTATCCTGACACATGACTCCCTCCCCCTCAGATGAATGACAAAAAGTTCTTTTTCTTACATCAAATTTCAAACTGGAATCCCTATACTATCGCCCTTAAAATACCATCTGAGAAAATAAAAATATGACCGGGGTTTCTAAAGTCATGCTTCCCAACCTTTACCAACTTTCTACCAGCCACAGTGGAAGACAGGGTGTCGTTATGCATGTTATTCCATGACTACTAAGGTACTACAGGGCATATATATTTGCTCTAGTCACTGAAATTTAAAAAGCCAAATTTATTATGTTATAATAAGAGGGTTTTGAGATACCTCCTGAAATAACTGAGCATACACACATAGTCTCTTAGAGCCAGAGCTAGAAATTACGTCATTTTTTGGCTTTAATGGTGGGTCTGGTATTCCAAGGACTTTGTATTTTAAAGAACAGTGGATCTCTACAGTACCTGCTTTAAGATGAGGTAAAGCCGGGCTAGCTATTAGCACAAAATACACAATGTCTAGCCAAGTTCTTTGGGGATGACGATACAGTCGGATTGCTCAGTATCAGGCTTGCTGTTTTAAAATGTCACCCAGGCTACTGCTTGTTGCCAAACAGCAAGTTCATGCACATTCTGATCTGTGAACTTACCTCCTACAATGGTATCCACAGGATGGAGAAGCCCCAATGTTGTTGTTCCATCTGGTTTTCTCCTTTCAAATTCACACTGCAATGACCCAAAGTATTCAAATGTGGTACACTGTTTTATATTTACCACATTCATATGCAAGTACGTGTACATATATATATCTCTCTCTCACACTAGAAAGCCTTAAATTTAGCCAAACCAATATTATGAGTTACTAGTGTTACACTTGGATACTGACTTTCCCACCTCGCTCCATACACACAGTGGCTAATGGGCTGCAGAAATGAAGGTTAGGGAAACCTCAGGCTGGTAAAGAGCTGTGCGGGGCCTTTGGGCCCCTCCGCTCTGCCCTCCCTATTAAAAAAGGAAGATACTGGAGACCAGGGGAGGGGAGTGACCTGTCGAAAGTCACGTATTAATCCATTTGGTTTTAAAACCAATGTGCTAAACAATGATTTCAAGAGACCAGAGTATAAATGTTCATTTTCCAAGTTTAGAACACATTAACATCACTAAAATCCAGTAACAGAGGAAAAGATTCATTATGTACTTTACAAATTATTATAATTTTCTTCTCTGGGTGTTGTACTGAACAGCTCTTTGGCAGGTATGGTATGGGTTAAAAGTGCACAAGCAATCTGAAAACTGCAAGCCCCAGACAACCAGACAGTAGGTAGTGAAAAGAATGAAAAAGCCCCGTCACCTGGCTATTAACAAGCCGCCTGGTCAGCTTTCCTCCGGATTCCTTAACGATGCGGTCAATCTGCTCCTGCTCTCTTTCTAAACTATTGCTCTTACATTTATCTTCAAGCATATCTTTGTCTTTCCTGAAAACATACATTAATACTAAGTAAAAAAAAAAAAGATAAGATGAAAACATTAAAATGAATTCCAAAGAGGAGCACAACTCAACCGGAGGCACTTGCCTTACGGTCGCCAAGTACAGCTTTGTTCCTCGGGGGCCCGGGAGAGCCCGGAGCATGCTCATAGCCAGGCCAGCCCAACAGCCTGCTTAGCTCTCGCCTTTGTGTGTCCAGTGCTATTTGTCTTGAGCATTTTTCTCAATACAGTCACACAAATGGACTCTACCTCAAACATATTTTGAAGGGGGAGGGACACATCATTCTCTTTTTAAAGTCCAGTTTCTAAATTTAAAATGAAATACATTTGGGGGCGCCTGCGTGGCTCAGTCGTTACACATCTGCCTTTGGCTCAGGTCATGATCCCAGGGTCCTGGGATCGAGCCCCACATCGGGCTCCCTGCTCAGTGGGAGGCCTGCTTCTCCCTCTCCCCCTGCTTGTGTTCCCTCTCTCGCTGTCAAATAAATAAAATCTTAAAAAAAAAAAATTTGAATTGTACAAATCTTAGAAATACAATAAAAATACGTCACAAGTTTACTCTCTTTGCCTTACACCAGCAGAAATCCAGCCTACTCACTAGAACCCTCTTTCAGAGTTGACAGTGAGATGCGGGGCCTCAGGGCTGCTAGTGAGTCAGTGGTGTGACCAGGTGGCCACAGCTGCGTCCGGCCATGCCCGGGGCTGCCGGGGGGGGCAAGGGGGGGACCAGTACTGAGTTATCGCTCCTACCAGGTGATGTCTGGTGGAAAACACGCACACACCTCAGCAACAGCCCATCTGTTTAGGAAGTAGCTTCACCTGTAAATTTACGGTTTCAACCCCTTTATGGAATGAGGTAAAAAATACAGATTTTTTTCTTAAACAGAGTTCTACTTCAATAAATTTCACTAATAATAAGTCCCTAAAGATAATTTATTGGTTTAACTACTTTCATAAGAATACACATTCAGAACTGTTTTCTGAACTATGTTTAAACAATTGCATATAATGCTTTGTAGGAGAAGACGGGGATCATTATCACCGAAATGGACTTTCATGCCAAAAACCAACCAACCACGGGTAGACCTCTTCTCAAGGCAGGCACTGAACCAGGATTTTTCCCGCTTACTGGTCTGAAAAAGATAGTTTAACTTAAATATTCCAAAGATTTTTTTACTTTTTGTTTTCTTTATTGGGACTCTTGAAGGCTTGCGCTTCAGTATCTCCAGAGTCTTCCCTTTCTCTTGGCCAGCAGCCGCTGTCCTCCCCACTCTGCGAGGTGTCTGTTCTATCTTTCTGCTTTCGACTTTTTTGCAAGTCTGCCATGAATTCTATGCTCTGCTTCAGGCTCTGAATTCTCTCCTAAAAATATTCAAGAATAGTCTCATTGCATATTTGTCATTAATTTTTAAAGTGATGCATTTCTTTCTCACAATGTGAGTTTGCACTTACTCTGTCATTAACTAGGGAAGAAAAGCAATTAAATGTAATTATACCAAGAGAGTATGTTTGGGAACCAGGGCAATACAGTCTATTCCTTCAATTCAGATAATTTCCAACATAAGAGAATGCTTTTTAACTTGACTACATCATCAAAACGTTCATAGAGGAGAAAGCATGAATAAATACTAAGTATTCTTTGCAGTACTAACTTTAAAAAGGAGAATTTAGTTTAATAGCATGTTTAAATTTTGTATTTAACAGAATGGCTTATCTTTTGAAATTTAAGAATTATCAGGTATTTCAAAAGCTAGAGGATGTGAACATGTGAAGTACCCTTACACTCTGGTATCCTAGAATAACCACTGAGGACGCTGGCATTTTTCTCTGTGTGAAAACAACATGCTTCCAGGAGAATAAAAGGTTGCTAGCACAGTTTCTTTCCCAGAAAGCATAATGTTCTTACCAAAGAAGTCTTGTTTCTATTTTGTGAAACACGTACTTAATTTTCCACTGCATTGATATGCTGTGAAATTTTCTTTGTGGTGAAGGGCTTGAGGTTTCTGGAGGCACATTTGTTTCTAGTGACTTCTGCTTTTTAACTCTGAGCACTGTTACTGGATAAAATATGGAGTGCAGTCTCCTTAGGGCTGCATGGCAATGCCAGGGAAGACTTTTGCAGAATAATAGAAACTGAGAACTGGAAAGGACCAGAGGTCATTCAAATAAGAACAACATAGCCCAGAAATGCTAAATGCCTCACCTAAGGTCATAGAACCAGTGACGAAGCCAGGGCTCTGGGGTCCCATGAGGGGCCCTGTCTCATCACACTGCTGAATTAGCAATGCAGACCGTGAGAGCCTCCAGAACGCGGACCTGCTATTTTTACTGAACTTTTATTTTAAGGTAGTCTTATTAAAATTATCCAAGTAATATATTTCATTGTAGACAAAGATTTGGGTAGAGGAGAAAATACAAACCTTGTTTATCATTATGCCAGTATTTCTCTAAGCATTACACATATTGGCTAATTAGAATTATACTGAATATTTGGTAACATGAATTTTTTTCATTAATAAATTACAATCATTTTCCCTCCATATCATTCAATACTCTTTAAAATGTTTTTAGTAAGTGTGTAGTATTTTATCCTGCGTACCATGGCCTAATTAATATTCCCCTATTAGACATTTAGATTATTCCAAGTTTCCACTATTACAAATAAAAGTCTCATGAACGGCACTATAACTAAATCTCTTCAAGAATCTCTCCTTAGGATAAATTCCCAAAAGTGATACTGTATGTTAACTATATTGAAAAAAAAAAAAAAATTCCTAGAAGTGGAAACACTAGGTCATCAGGCTTTTGATATTTACTGCCAAACTGCTCTCCAGAGAAATTTTATCAATGTATATATCAGTGTTTGAAAGTTTCTCTGAATCCTTATCAAACTGAGTAGTATTTAAAAAAATTTGCCGATTTAAAAAAAATGTCTTATTTTAATACATACTTAAAAAATATTAGTGAATATGATTATCTCTGGAACTTTTTATCGGCCATTTGTGTTTTCCCTTGTGTACGTCACTTAGGTAATTCCTTACCCAGCTCTATCTCTAGTACCTAAATCAGAAGCTCGCACACTGCAAGTATAAATGGTGTTAAATGAATGGGCTTAGATCATGAAGTTCTCAGTTATCTTTTTATTTCCACTCTAGAATTTTATAAAATAGAACCTACATTAAAAACATTTTGAAGTTTTTAAAAACGTAACACACACAAAATGAAAAGAATTAGAGAAATCTTCTAAATTTCAACACAAATCATTGGAAAAAGCTGGGTTTCATTTTACCTTGAAAGTCTTTTTTTTAAAAAATAATTAAGATGTCTCCAAATCAGCATACTATTTATCAGTCCTCAATTTTACAACATTAAACGGCTGAAAGGGCTGGACTCTGCCACGCGGGTGCTTACACACGCATCAGGCACGGCCGCCTGGCCGCCAAGGTCTACCGAGGCGGAGCAAGGGCGCACAGCCTGCCAAGGTCACTCAGCGTCTCGAGGGCACAGCCAGGACTTGAACCTTGATTCTAAAGCCACCATGCTACAAACAGGAGTTTGTACTATTTTGTTTGTAGTATAATGCAGCATTCTAGTATTTATCTAGGAGATCAAAAAAGTTATTCGACTACTTCCATTCTTTATAAAAATGTCTACCAATAGCCACTATTTTGTGTGTCAATGAAAAAAATGATAAATGACTGCTCTACAATCTTTACACGGAACATTCAAAACCAGTGATCTTTTAAAAAGACACCATTCATGGAAGGGTGTGCTGGGCTCCCTTGGGAGTACCGCTATCAGAAGAGTTAACTCAAGAAGATCTAAATTTAAACATTTAAAAAATCACTGTTGTAAGGATCCCTCCCATTTAGGGTGGAGAGAACAGTCAACAGGAAGCTATAACACAGGATGGGTAGGGCTCCTCAACAGGAAGAGATCTGAAAAAAAGGAAGACAACAGAGAGAGAAAAGGGAAGGTGGAGAAGAAAGTTTATTTTCTGTACTTCCAGCCATCCCACCCCCAGTAAAATTCAAGAGATACTGTAATCTTTTGCATGTTATATTAACTACATTATTTGAAAAAAAAGAAGATAATGGTAAATCAAAGTTGATAAATTTACTTGGGATACTGCAAATTCAACTTTCTCCCAAAAATTTAATGTACATATTGTGGAGTGACTAAAGACTACATTTGCGGGATGCACTTTTATTTCAAATGTAATTTGTAGATTTTTAAACCTGGAATATGGCGTGGGTCTGGATTCTGAGTCTTCCTGCAAAGAGTGGGATAAACATTTTATAGTCCCCTTTCCTTTGTAGATTTTGCCAAAGATGGGTACCTGGTTTACATTACAGTTTTTTATGTCTATAGGAAAGGGTAGGAACTGATGCTGTCTGTCTGAATATTAGGAATGCAAGAATACTCATCAACCCAAATGCTTTTCTTTGCCCAGTTAAATGGATCTGAGAATCTCTTAGAGCCAAGCACACACTCAGACATCTGCACACCAAGACAATTCTTTAAAACTGTAATACAGATGGTCACTGTAACAAGTGGGAAACCATGTGCATCTACACATGACTCATTCCTACTCTCCTATAACTCCTCTGAGTCTGGGCCCAAGCTCTTCATTCTGATTTCTTTCTCATTCTTCCTGTCTTATACCTCCACTTGTCTCTTCTTCGAAAAATCCCTCTCCTGCCTTGCTCTCCTTTCTCGTAGTCTCCTGCCTACTTAGCTCTTAATGAGAGTCAGCACCCTAACGCTGGCAATTATCTTGGGAGACTGCACTTTAAACCTTCTTTAAACCACTTTAAACCATGTCTTCTCCAGACATGAGAATACCGAGGCCCAGCATGGTTCATGTCCTGCCCGAGGTCCACAAGCTAAAACCAGAACTCCGACTTCCTGCCAGGATCACCTCCGTTAACTTCCCATCCTATTCAGAGCCATGAGTAAAACCTCAAAAGACACGACTTATCTTGTGAACTCTCCTCTTCTCCCAGCAGGTGCACAGCGAGCCCCTCAATTCCCCTCATCCCATCAGCGGTTGTTCTGAGACAGCACGTGTTCTTTTCTGCCACTAACCTCTCTTCTGAATAAACTGTCATGTTTATGCCGTCTCATGAAGCTTGATGATGAAGTGTCCCTCCCACCTCAGCCACATTACTATGGTACCAGTTCTGGCCCTTCCAGGAGGAGTGCTCCTGCAGGGAGGTGGCAAAGAGCAGGGTACTGCTCACTGACATTTTCTTTGTCCTGGAAGGAGTTCCTGTGCTTCACCATCAGAGTCCATCCTTCAAAGGGAAGTAGAGAGCTTTCCCCCCAACAGGCCTCATAATTCATCTCACCAATCTTATCCTGGAATTCAGGGTGATGTTTCTTTCACAGCAAATATAAATCCATCTGGTGACTAACCAATTCAACAGCCTCTAAATAAATAATTAGTACTTATTTGTATCAATTCCAAATGAGAATTTCGTGTTTTAATTTTCTTTGTATGAAAACTTTTTTCATTTAATATTTCCTACTTTAATATAATCCGCCTATAAAACTAGTACTGTACTGGATCTCTATCACTCTAACCAAAAAACAAAGGTATACAGATTTTATAACAGTTACTATTTATGACAAAGAATTTCCTTTACCTGGCTAAGAATTTTCATCCCTGAGTGCAATAGCTTCTTTGCAGCTTTATAATAAATGGTCTCGGGTTTGTTGTAAATCATAGCATTAGTACACATTAGTTTGAAGTTATCCTGCAGAGAGAATATTAAGGAGAAAAATGCATTTAAAACAAAACAAAGCACCTTCTTGTCCCTGTTTGATGAAATCATACAGGTCCTCGAAAAATTAAAAAAGATAAAACAAAAACCCTATCCTTTTATTTCACTGTTTACTAAACAACATTAAAGCAATTTAGTGTGTTTTAAGACTAACTAACAAAAGCAGTACTGCTAAGTTAATTTAAATTTTGTACTACATTCCTTTCCAAATTCTTACATTTTTTATAATGAGCAACATAAACCCTTAGATCCCAAGATGAAATTTTTAAATGGATTTCTTCACTATAATCTTACTGTACACAAAAAGAATTGGAAGAAAATACTTCTATTTAATAGAATAATATTTAAATTTTTTTTTTAGAGAGAGAGAAAGCAAGCAAGAGTGGGTGGGGGGAAAGATTAGGGGAATGGACAGAGGAGAGGGAGAGAAAATCTGAAGCAGGCTCCTCACGCAGTGCAGAGCCTGGCTTGATCTCATGACCCCAAGATCATGACCTGAGCCAAAATCAAGAGTTGGACCTTTAACTGACTGAGCCACCCAGGCGGCCCTATAGAATAACCTTAACTGAGTTCACGTAATTAAAATATTACTCCTAGTTTTAAAACAAACATCTTAAGTTTCCATTTATGAATTAAATAATTTCAAATCTTTTTTTTTTTTTTAAAGATTTTATTTATTTATTTGAGAGAGAGAATGAGATAGAGCATGAGAGTGGGAAGGGTCAGGGGGAGAAGCAGACTCCCTGCTGAGCAGGGAGCCCAATGTGGGACTTGATCCCAGGACTCCAGGATCATGACCTGAGCCGAAGGCAGTCGCTTAACCAACTGAGCCACCCAGGCACCCAATAATTTCAAATCTTGATGAAAACTGTGACAGGGCTAAATTATCACAGTATTTTTTAGGAAATTCAAATTAACTGAGCAAAAATGTTAAAATATTTACACTAATTTTAAGTGTTTGGATACTATCATAAGCTAAACATAATTTGCAGCATGCTGCAAAATCATGCCAATGTGAAATAAACCATACAACCTCAAAGAGTTGGAACATGTAACCAGAGTAGCCAAATTATCAAAACTGTACTTTTAGGTTAAATTTCAAAGTACCTATGTATGCTGGAGAGCTCAATTCCACTGCATAGTTTCATGATTAAGTAATTTTTTACACTGTATAAACGTGGCAGTGATTATGCCACGACCTGAGTTAAAATGGTAAAAATCCAACAAAAAAAAATTCCCCCTAAACAAATTCCTCCTCCATATCCAAAACAAATATTCAAACCCCACTATTTAATAAAAAGTGATGACAGCTTAGGACACTTAAATGGAACAATAGGCAGACTTAGTATTACCTGAAAGCGTATGAGAAGACGGACTCAGGGGTCACAAGAAGTCTGGTATTAAACTTAAAGTGGATGAAGTACATGTGGATCCTTATCCCTGGTCAAGCCTCTAACCAATAAGAATTTGCTAGGTCCTGGATCTTTCAGAACGTGATGAAAGCCATGCATCCACTCCTCAAGCATATATACACACACCAAGTTGAACACAAACTTTTTAATGTCATTTTAGCAAGTTCCCCTTAAAGGCTCATCTCTGGCTTCCATCCAGAGGACCCCAGGTTAAGGGCCCTTGCTATAGATTTTCTGAAGAGCTCCCATTCCATTAAGAATTATTAAATATGTATTTTGGGAAACAGAGGCAAGAGAGGGAGGACATCAGATGACTATTACTTATACCAAGGGACCACTGGTCTCTAGCTGGCAAGAGAGTACTGGATTATTCCACTGATCTGATCTGTTAAGACAATTTTTAGATTCCATGAATCTTAACTGTCATGTGCTAGGCTTTATTGGACTTTGGGGGTAATGGCACTTGGTCACTCAAAAAGCTAAATGACCTTTCTGTATACTTTTCAAGTAATTAAAAAAAAAAACCTCAACAGCCTAACGAGCTGAATAAGCTAATTAATATTACATCAGGCTATTGATTTTTCCCCAAAGGAAACACAGTAATGTAGAAAACTCCAAAAATGAAAGTATTAGTTTATTTCAATTACAACAAATCTTAATTATCATTTGTGCAAAAACACTTAGGGGGGCACATTTCTATTCTCTTCTGTCATCATAAGAGAAAGATCAGAGGAAAACTGTTCACAAAAAGAAAAAAAAAAAACCCTGTGAAATTTTTTTCCATTAAGCAATAAGAAGGTCAGAAATATGCTGAAATAAACCATTCTAGCCTAATTTTCACCAGGTGAGAAACTGGGAAAGTTTCCATTTCTCTGAATACAAGAGAATGTAATTCAGGTTTCCAGAGTAAGTAGAATGTTACCTATGCATTCAAATGAACAGTAAAGATAGAATTAAATGCTGGTTTTATTCATAAATCTCAACTGATCAACATGTGGATTTAAAAAAAAAAGGCAAAAAGATAATCTGTAACTGATTAGGGTCTAGTACTTAGATAGATCAGGTGACTACTATAGCGTTCATGCAGAAAAAATAAAGGCAAAATAGGTATTATCTAAACCAGTTAAGTTTGGGTGGTTTGATACAGAGAAAAATTAAAACAAAACAAAACACACTGTTCCTTTCTTTGAAGGTCAAAATGAAAAGTATACTGCTGAAATCAACATATACCATAACTACTTAAAGATGGAAAAACTTCCACTGTAACATCGGGCACACACATCACCCTCTCATGCCTTATGGGTTCTTCACTCTTAAGTTTTTAATTTCATTCCTCTCTTTTGAAGAAAATATGCTCAACAAATATAGCCGAATTGAGTTCAGGAAGCAACTGACTTTCATCAAATAGAAGTGTAATTAAACTTTTACTATTTCTGGACAAGACTTATCCTCTATTGGAGAGACATGCTACACCTTAGCTGTCTAGAAATAGAAAAGGAAACTACTCCGTCGCAACTTTAAGTATCAATTTTATCTGTACTGGTCTGAAATGAAAAATGAGACAGAGTGTAGAACATATGAAATTCAAATTTTTCTAAAACACCCCCAAATAATAAAAGACAGCAAATGGATTCGTTTGTCCAGTTTTCTATCACGTGACATTGGTGCTCAAAAATGTTTTCTGAGACAGAAAAATACAAAAATTTTGGATATTAAAATAAACTTAATTCTCTACAAAATAATAGGTCAATGAGAAAATTTCCTATTATCAGATATGCAGATTTCTACCAAGACTGTGTATACACAGAATCCAAGAGTTCAACTCTCAACTGAATAATTATGTTACTTTGTATTACAGGTCAATTTTCCAATCACAACATAAATAACTATAGTTACCTTCAGTTCTTCTATGGACTGGTAATCATTGTTCTTAATCTTTTCTTTCATGGTACTAAAATCCATTGGGTGCTTAATGATCATGGAGTAGCCGGGAGCAATAAAATCAGTCACAGGAAATGAAAAGAAAGCACTTGGGTCTTTTCTGTGAAGATATGAAAAAGGCAATTTTATTTCTACTACAAACAAATCTACTGGTCTAGGAGCAGAAGTCACAGGAAACATTTCAGTGTAGAAAGAATCTGTAGTATACTAACATGCTCTTCACTGCAAGTTGAAAGAATGATTTTATTTTTTTAAAAATTTTATTTATTTATTTGACAGAGAGAGAGAGAGGGAGAGCGAGCACATGCAGGAAGAGTGGGAGAGGGAGAAGCAGGCTCCCCACTGAGCAGGGAGCCCAATGTGGAGCTCGATCCCAGGACCCTGGGATCATGACCTGAGCCAAAGGCAGATGCTTAACTGACTGAGCCTCCCAGGTGCCCCTGAAGGAGTGATTTTAAAGACTCATAATAACAAGGTTAAGATGTTTTAATACTAATCCGTACCCTTAAGACAGAGAATCTTTTAAAATATGCAGCCTAATTAATCGGTAGCACCTCCTACACAGGGAAAAATGAAACAAAATAAAAGATCTAAGACTAACTAACTAATGTCTGGCCTTTGGGAGATAAACACTATGTACTTTTATCAACCATAGGGGAAAAGACAGAAAGAATAACTATAAATGCACATCTGCAATCTTCCATCCTGATTTATAACTGTAAGGTTGGATTCTTGGTGGGCCACAGAATTCACGTGAGTATCTAGATTTTCTTAATCAGTGGACCCGACTTTAGTGTGTATAGGAGAGTACTCAAAAAACTGACATTAAAAAGGTCCTCATACTACCGCCAAACTTAAGAACCAGTGCTTTCTATTGTAGGCCCTCAATTCTGGCTGTGCAATTCTGCTTTAAAAAAAATTCCAGTTGTGGCGGGTGGGGAGGTGGCGGCTCACCCTAGACTCACTACATCAGAATGTCCTGGGAAGGAGGGTTCGTCCAGGCACCGGTACTTGCAGGGTTGAGTACTGGTACTGCAGTATTTGGCACTGGTAATTCCAGTACTGACAGGGTTGAAAAACATCGCATATGATTAGGTCACTAGATTGATTTTTTCTCTGGAAATTTGGCAAACCGAAGTTTCTTACTCCAAATTATCGTAACAATAAAAATGATTTAAAATGTAGTAGTAGGAGCAACTTTTAAAATGTATTTACCACATGCAGGCCCTATGGTAGGTGCCTGATGTATTTTATATCTAATCCTTACAAAAGCCATCAAGGTGGTGGCAGCCTCACTTAGAGAGATGGGGGAACTGGGGCTCAGAGGTCAAATCTTTTGTTCTAGGTCATAAATCTGATAGAAGAGCTGGAATCTAAACTCAGCTATTTGTTCTTCCTTACAGGATGCCTAGGTGGTGAGACCAGAAAAAAAAAATAAGCAAAAATACCCAGTGTGTCCATAGTAGTTACTATGAGTAACAACACTGATCATATCTGGAGGACTTCTTCAGAGCAAATCATCTACCATCCCTCCCCCCCCAGAATCAGTCATTTTAACAGAACCCTAATCAACTATACCGTTCATCAGCATTTGGGCTGAGCCTCAAGGATGATGAATACACTAAAGACCATTCAAAAAATGTGGCTCTGGGTTCTAATTCCCAAAACGTTCTGAGAAATGTCAATATCCTTGGACTAAGAGGACCTTTTTTTTTTTTAAGATTTTATTTATCTGAGAGAGACAGACAGACAGAGAGATGGCACAAGCAGGGGGAGAGGCAGAGGGAGAGGGAGAAGCAGACTCCCTGCTGAGCGGAGAGACCGATGTGGGGCTCGATCCCAGGACTCTGAGATCATGACCTGAGCTGAAGGCAGATGCTTAACCGACTGAGCCACCCAGGCGCCCCAATGAGAGACCTTGTTAAGTGGATTTCTTTTAAGTTGACATCATTAAGCTATATCCTGGTCTTATGTTACAAAAAATAAAACTTCAAAGGCAGCCAAAACACTTTATAATCATACATTCTAATAGAGTCAGAACACCTACCATTTACCTGTTCATATTTGGAGACATGTAATGAATGACTTATTCAAGGGCAAAGGCTTGAGATGTAATTTTCTCAATTATCCTCTAACACCAAAAAGGGAGGGAGGCCACTAACTTCTCATCTTAACTGCAAAGCTGGACAGGTGCTGAATACAGAGAGCACAAGAGGCTTTAACTTACAAAATGATTTGTAATCTGTTCTGGGTTGACACAGAAGGACAACACAGTGAGAAGAAAGTTCACCATAAGAATGCAAGCCCTCCACCCATGAATCCTCTGCAAATAATGTCTCTGAGCTGAAAATTCAAATTCTGAGTAGAGACAGGTATCAAAAATATGTATTTTAATAAAGATGGAGTTACTCTTTTCCCCTTTATGAACTTAACATTGGTTTAATCTAGATACTGTAATTTTTAGAACAAATTTTTGCATGTAAGAGAGGGTCACAAATCCTCTTTACTTTGTTTCTTCTCCCAGACTTAATAATTACTGAATATTCACAGCACAATAAGCACTGAACAAATATATAGAAGGTATTTTCATCTATTAGCAAAATGAAAATAGCTGTATTGTTTATTCCTGGTTTAAAGCTTTAATATCAGAAGTTACTTTAAAGAGAAATTTGCCATTAAGAGTATTATGTAACACTCTTCAAGTTGCCAGTTAAACCAAAGGAGAACATTTAAAAGTCTTCTTAAAGTACTTTCTGCTGCCAGGCAAAATATTTATCATCCACTTTAAAATCAAGTACATTTGGATTTAGGCCACAAAATGTGGCTTTAAATAATCAAAAATAGAGAAGTGGTTTGGATCCTATATTTCCCATTTCAATTTCCAAGTTATAAAAATGTTGGAAAAAATATTTACCTCTGTAATTGTCTCATCAGTTGATTCAAAGCTTCTTGAAGGGGTGTCTGTTCTACTTCTAAAGCAAAGGAGAAAGGGAAAATGTTTTCAAAAGGAAGATTCTAGAGAGTATTGTTTAGCTTATTTTCTTTATGAGTTACTTCATACCCATCATTAAATATCATACAAAAATTCCATTTCTCTTATAAATATACTGAAGTATGAGAATATCAATTCAAAACTGAAGCTACTTTCAAGCTCTTATGCAGCAACAGAAAAAAGAAAATTAAAAAAAAAATTAAACAGCTTTTAAAATTTAACTTAAAAACTAAAAACCCACTTTCCCTGGCTACAATCCTTAAAATAATTTCAGCCTCCTCATTCAGGGACGTTAATTCAGAGTTATTCCAACCTTCTTGTTTGGCTAAAGAGCTTGTGAGAGGCTTCTCAGGAGGCAAGTCTAATCTTACAGGGGTCGGGCACTGGAGGTCTTTTTCTGCCTCATTCTCCACACGGTCCCGATCTCGCTTCTTTTTATCCTCCTAAATGGAACAAAGGGAAATAATTTAGAAATACTTCAGAATTAATACCTTTAAAATAAACAACACTCATTTCACTGAAAAAAACCCCAAAACAAAAAACCAAGACATCACTCAGAAGATTCTAAGTAATGAAATCTTAATGTATTTTACTGCCATCTACTGGAAAAGGAGTGAACAACAGTTCATACAGGGGTGAGGGAGTATTGCTTCTGTATCCCAGAAATAACCAAATAGAAAAATAATACTATTCACAAAAGCAAGATAACATACCTAGGAATAAATCTAATAAAAGTTCCCAATACCCTTTGGGAAAAATGTGAAACATTACTGAAAGGTCATTGTGGAAGACCTGAATAAAAGAGATATACCATGTTCATGAACTGAAAGACAGTCAATTCTCTCCCAAGTAATCTATAAGTAAAATGTAATTTCAGCGAAAATTGTAAGACAGAATTTTTCATGAAATCTGACAAGCCAATCATAATTTATCTTGAAGAATGAATCACCAAGAATAATCCACAGTTTTGAAAAAAATCACAGTAAGATGTGTCTTGTCAGATAATATTCGTATAAAGTGATAATAATTAAGACAATGTGGATCTGACACGGGGACAAACAGACCAACATATAGCGTCCAGAAACAGACTTGTGCACATAGAAAAGTCTTGTTATATCAGGGGTGGCATTATAAATCAATGACAAAAGGGCAGTGCTGGGATAACTGGTTATCTACATGAAAAAGAAAATAAAATTAGATCTCTACGTCGTATCATACACAAAAGGAAATTCCAGATAGATTAAAGACTTAAATGTACAAAGCAAAGCTTTAAAACTTCAGATAAATATAAAGAATCTTTATGAACCAAGAGTAGGGAAAGATTTTCTTACCCAAAAGCAAAGCCAAAAGACTAGCTATGGACTGAGATAAAGTACTTGAAACGCAAAAAAACTCATATAAAGTATTACCAAAAGTTAAGTAAACAGCATTTATTCAGGTAAAATTCAGGTAAAAAGGAAAGTGGGTAGAAAATGGGTAAAGGATATCACAGGTAATTCCTAGAAGAAACCTGAAATGTCAAAAAACATGAAAATTAGCTCAAGCTCCCGAGAACTCTGGGTATTGTAAATTTAAAAACTAGAAGGCATTTCATATCTGATTGGCAAAAATTAAAATGTCTGAAAATGTCAAATTCTGATGAAAATGTAGAGAAATTGGGCTCTCATACCTTATGGATGGGTGAGTAAATAGGTATAACCACTAGGAGAACAATTAACAATATCTAGTAAGGCTGACGATGCCTTTAACCTACTTCTCAGCTCTTCTACTGGGCATACACCCTAGAGAAACTTCCTTTCACACAGTATACATGAAAGACAGGTGTAAGAATATTTATTGCCACACTCTGAAATAGTAAAATACTATGAACAATCTAATGTCTACCAAAAAGAAAATGGATTAATAAATTATGCATATTTACACAGCAGGCAGAATAAGCAGAAGTTACATTGTATCAAAATGTATAATGTTTAGAAACATAATTTCTAGAGACAAAAGTTGAGATTGTTATCAGTTGTGTAGTGTAGTATACACACACAAATGTGTAAGTGTATATTGTTCACAGATCTATGTAGAAGTAGTAAAATTACAAGAACAAGTATGCAAGTGATGCACATGAAACTCATGATAATGGTTCGCTCTAGGGCAAGAGAGAGAGGATTGGGATTCTGGAAGAATACACAAAAGGCTTCATCTTGATCTATACTCTAATTTTTAAAAAATTTTTATTGTTATGTTAATCACCATACATTACATCATTAGTTTTTGATATAGTGTTCCATGATTCATTGTTTGTGCATAACACCCAGGATACTCTAATTTCTTAAACAACAACAACCACAACAAAAATTAAAAAAACCCAAAACCAAAAAAATCAAGCAAAAGGTACAATGTTGAGATCTGCTAAAACTGGGTGGTTGGTATCCAGGTGGCAGTTTTATCACTGTTTTATTTTAAATCAAATTTGTAATAAAATTGTCCAAAAATGTCTATTTTATGCCTTTGAGAATTAAGATTCTCAACAGGATCTTATCAACTCCAAAACTATTTTCTTGGCTTACGTCCTCATTTATTATCCTAGTATCTAGAGCAGTCAGTGGTTCTCAAAGTGTGCTCCTTGACCAGCACCATCAGCTGGGAAATTGCCAGAAGTGTAAATTCTGAGTTCCCATTATAGTTTTCAAGGTTCAGTGCGCATTAGAATCACCTGACGAGCTTGCTGAAACATTAATATCTTGGCCCTGTCTCCAGAATTACCCATCTTATGCCTAAGGTGGAGCCTATGAGTATTACCAGCAAGTTTCCAGGCCATAAGGGTGTTGCTGCTACAGGAATCACACTTTGAGTATCACTGATACAGAGCTTCCCTTCTAAGGGTCCAAAGCACCTAATACAGAATATATGACTGGGTTAAAAGCTCCAGAGAAAAATGCTATAAACTGTACTCATCGTGCACTTGATCTCAGTTACCATCAAGTTGATTGGTGTTTTTTATGGCTTCGTGACAGATTCTGGAGCAGCAAATTTTGACTTTGGAAAGTTTTGTATCTTTTGCCCAGAAAACCTGGCATGAATTTTTTGTAGGCTGGCAGGTTTCCATCTGTTCAATGGAAAAAGACCCCCTAGAGACACAGATTCCTTCTTGTTAAATGTAAATTGTGGCGTGAGGACAGCTTGGAAGGCAATAAGCACTCTGCTAGGTGGAAAGAACTAGGGCCATAGTGCCAGGCATCTAGAGTAGGGGTTGGCAAACTTTTCTGATAAATGGTCAGATAGTATATAATTTAGTTTTGTGGTCCATAAGGTCTGTCACAACTACTAACCTTTGCTGTTGTGGCATGAAAGCGGCCATAGACAATACATAAATGAATGGGTGTGGCTGTGTTCCAATAAAAGTTTATTTATAAAACCAGGTGGCACTGGCCATGGTTTGCTGATGGTGTATGGGCTCAAGTTCTAGCCCCAGCTTCATCCTTAACACACTCTGTGACCTTCTTAGGCAACTCATTTATCATCAGGCCTCTTCGTCATCCACAAGATAGAGATTTAACTGCTGATTTTATTTATCCTAGAAAGTCAATGAGATGGTGAAATGAGGTCAAGTAATAGAAAAGTTGCAAAAGTACCAAAGGAAGGTACTACCTGATAACTTTATCTTGTCAGCCTGGTCTATAGTAACCACCTTATTTTCAGTATGACAAGAGCATAATGTAGCCTTCTGGGCTAGGGTCCAAAAGAGAAAGAGAATATAAAAAACCTATACTTGGAAACTACCCTAAACTGGAGATATTGTAATGTGTTACCACTAGATGAGGAATTAGGAGACCTGGAGTCTAGTTTACCAGAATGTGACCTTGAACAAGTTACCCCACTTATTCACTCTCAGTTTCACCTACAAGAGGTTTTGATCTCTACAGTTCCCTTTCCACTTAAAATTCTGATTTCAACCTTATTTTCTTCATGATTCAGAATATAGTATAGAATCTTACTGCGAATGTCCCTTACTAAAGGTCACACAGATATGTAAAACCAAGAGTTAACACAGTTATGCTCAATAGTGCATTTTGCCAATTACATATAGAGAATGAAACAAAAACACTAGAGCCATTTAACTTCAGGTAGCCAAGGAAGAAAGGTTTACAGTTACAGTTTATAAGTGGGCTCAGATTCTGGCTTTGCCACTTATTAGCTATCAGATTATAGATAAACTATATAATTCTGGGGGGACTAATTTTCTTATCTTTAAAATACACAACAGAGGTGCCTGGGTGGCTCAGTTAAGTGGTCTGCCTCTGGCTCAGGTTATGATCTCAGGGTCCTAGGATCGAGCCAAGCCTCGCTTCAGGCTCTCTGCTTTGCAGGAAGTCTGCTTCTCCCTCTGCCCCTCCCCTGGCTTGTGCTCTCTCTCAAATAAATAAAATCTTAAAAAAAAAAAAATACACACAATAGTACCTCAGAAGATGGTTTTGAGGATGAAATAAGATCGTGTATGTGAAATTTCAGTGAAGTACTTACTCACGGTGTCCACTCATTCATTCACGCATTCAACAAATAAATGAGGTTCTACTGTGTGGATACACACTGGTGGATAAAACACACACAGCCCTGTCCTTAGGCAGCTGAGAGTGTAACAAAGGAGGCACACATTAAACAACTCATTAAAAAAACCCAAACAGATTTCATGGGGAGAAGAACTGTTGGGTGAATCTAATTTAGACTGGACAAGTGTGGGAAGGCTTCTATAAGGAAGTAACATCTGAGCTGAGATCTGAAGGATAGAATTTAGCCAGGCTTGCGGGGGGGGCAGGGGGAGGTGGGTGGAAAGAGCATTCCAGACAGAGGAAGTATCCTCTGTGCAAGAAGGTCCAGGCAGCAGAGACAAACCATGGCTATTTCTGTTAACTACAAACACACTGGACTTAATTTTTTCACAGCTCAATGGCAAGTTATTAATTTGTGAATGACACTTTGGAAGCAAATCTCTGTTCATATTATGATTATAACACTCATTGCACTGTATTATAAACACATCTGCCTCTTTCACTGCCGTTCCTCACGGGCAGGGTCCCAGGATGGCCTCAGGAGGAAACCAGAGTGGGAGGATCTTCTGCCATGAGATCCTGGGTGCGGCAGATGTCACACCAAACAAATCAATGAATTGTTTTGACAGAATTTTCATTCTGCGTAATGACAGTCATTCATTTCTTCTCTCTAGTTATGAGCCATCTCATCCTCTATGCCTCCGTTAGCTCAGCAATACAATGAGATACTAACAGTACCTATCCCATAGAGCCATTTGTAAGAAGACAGTAAACGTACTGGCCTACAACAAACCCTCAGATGTTAGTTTTGAGTATGTTATCCCCCTTGGAATCCAGTTTAGTGCTTTAATAAAATAGGTGCTTATTGGAATTTATTCTATGTGAGTAATAGCTTAAAATTT